AGTATTATTAATAACCAAGGCCAGTTCCTGCCCCACCCACCTCTCTGCCCCCCGCTCCTTGCCCACCCTGTCTAGTCACACTGTTCTTCCTCTGGGCAGCACACAGCAAGTTGGGTCTTTCTTGGGGTTCCCCTCCTAGAGGCCCCCCACTTTCAGGGTTTGATCCTTTCAGAGCGAAGGGTCCACCGTCCAGGAAGATCCATGCTGAAACCCCTGAAAATCCCACCTGGACCCTAGATGGGGAGAGAGACCCCAGCCCCGCCTCCTGTCTCCTCCCCACTGGAATCACACTAGAATGCTCCTTCTTTTATTTTATTTATTTATTTATTTATTTATTTATTTTTAGAGAGGGAAGGGAGTGAGAGAGAGAGAGAAACATCAGTGTGTGGTTGCTGGGGGTCATGGCCTGCAACCCAGGCAGGTACCCTGACTGGGAATCGAACCTGCGATGCTTCGGTTCACAGCCCGCGCTGAATCCACTGAGCCACGCCAGCCAGGGCAGAATGCTCCTTCTTTTCCCCAAAGCTGGGGCCACCGTGTTGCCCCCATGAGTGTGCGGCGGCGAGCCCTCGCTCAGTGGTGTTCATGTCCGCACTCGGGGCCTTCCCCAGAGTCACAGGGAGCCACCGAGGGGCCCGCAGGGTGGGTACGGGGCCAGGCGTGGCCTGAGAAAGGGGTTCCCGGCCTTACTCGGTGTCCTCCATTGTGAAAGCCGGTGCGGCCTTCAGGAATTAGAAATCTTTTTCAAAACCTTTACAAAAATTAACAGCTGACCGTCAATATGACATCATTTTCACACGTGCAGCGCTGCAGTGAGATGTTGGAAGCCAACCTGCCTGGTTTCAGGAGCTGTAACTCCCACCAGGACTGAGGCTGAGGCTGAGGCTGAGTGAGCGACCTTGGGACCAGAAGCCACTGAGGAGAAGAAGCTTATCTCCCTGCAGGGGCGCCGCCTCTGCCCCCTTTCACCTCACCCTGCTTGGTCCCCAGTGCTTGGTCGGTTAGCCAATGATGGGTAAGATTCCCCAAGGGGGGAACGACCTAAGACAGGCACGGTCACGAAGGGGCCCTCAGGGAAGGACTTGGGGTCTATGGAGAAAGGGGGTGATGGACCCTCACCCCTCGGCTTTGACATAGCCTGAGTCCTCATTCTGTCTGCGAGAAGTCTCCTAATCTCTTGGCTGCCTTACTTCCCCTGCCTGTTTAAGCCTGAGAGAATGACAGCGGGTGGTGCAGCCCTGTGCTGGAAAGGGCGGGTTCCCTGGGCGATCAGGCCTAGGAAAGAATTTGTAAAATCCTGTGAAACCTGCTTTGTTTAGAATGCCCTCAATTAAATCATAAGGGACCAAGCAAGAAGTGAGTTTGTTCCTCAAAGGTTCACGGCCCTTCAGCTCACTGACCCTGACTCAGAACAGGCCCCCGTGGTTCTTTGGACGTTGTCTGTCGTCTGAGCCTCACTGCCTGACACTGATCGATGAGCGTCCCCTGTGCTCCTGTGCGCACTGAGCCCCGTGAGAGCCCACCAAGGAGCAGGCTCCCGGCCCTTCTCCTCCGAGAGATCGGCCCCTTTCCTCCCCAGGCAGGTCACGTCTTGGTAGACTTACTCTCCTCTGTGGCGGCTGGGGGGTGGGCCCTGCGGGCGGAGCCCCCTTCAGTCAGACATTTGTGTGACCTACCGGGTGGCCCTCCGGGCTTACACTTCTTCCCCATTGAGACCAGCCTCACCCAGGGAGCTGCCCTTTGGATTTAAAGGCCATTTGAGTGTCCCTGGGGATTGCCCGTCCACCCCCTTTTTGGTGTCCTTGACCACCCTTTAGGGAACCAGGGGGACAGGACAGAGGTCTGAGCACTCCCCACAGGAGACGGGAGAGGGCAGGGCCGCGCTCCGGCCTCCGTGCGTCTGTGCGTCGGGGGAAAGGGGGCCTCCGCCCACCATCAGAGCCCCATCCAGCGGGTTCGCCGGGGCCGGGGCTGCGACAGGCACGTGGAGGCACCGGCTTTGGAGCCGAACCAGCCACACGACAGCCCAGCCGTCTGGGAGGAAGCCGCTTGGAGGAGGAGGAGGCGGCCTGCGGTCCCAGGTCCCGAGACGCCGGTTCGCGGCCGGCCAGCGCAGGCACCGTTCCGACGGGTGGTAGATTGGGGCTGCCAAGGGCTCCCAGGTGGAGGCGGTGCAGCACCAGGCACCGAGAATCTGGCGGGAAGTGGCGCCGGCCACAGGGAGGCTAAACCCCCCGGCACGAGTCCACCCAGGAGAGGCCGGACAGAGGTGCCTGGTTCCACAAGAAGGGCCCTCCCTCCCCCGCCGGATGGCGACGCAGTGAATGTGTTCACAGGAAAGTCACAGGAGGCTGGAAAACAACAAAAAAAACCTGTGACGTAAAAAACACATACGTGTTCTGACGTGATTAAAACATGACCCAAGCTAAGGACCAGGGCAGGTGTGGTTGACTTCGTGGGGTGGAGCCAGGAGCAGCCGGAGCCAGCCAGGTGGAGGAGGGGGTGGGGCCTGGGAGGAAGGCGGGAGCAGGAGGACACAGCCCAGGGACTCGACCAAGGCTCCAGGTGCCGCCACCTCCAGCTTTGTCCCCTGCAGGACGGCGCAGTGGACGCGGCAGGCCCAGACACCGGCCCCCCCGCCTGGGGAAGCTCTGCCGGTCAGACGCGCCGCCCGGGTCCAGGGGATGCTGGGTGGTTCCAGACGTCCTCAGTCTTGTGGGAAAATCAGCGTCTGCAGAGAGGGTCCGCAGGCACCACGCGCCCTGTCGGCCAGCCTGGCTGGCCTGCAGGAAGGACGGGGTCCCGCCACGGCGCGGGGCCAGCGGAGAGGCCCTTTGCCAGGCAGGCAGTGGGGCAGGAGGCCGGGAACCGGGGCTGCTGCTGCTGCGGAGGGCCTGGCCCGCGGCCCCCTCTGGCCCCGGGACCCAGCGGCTCACAGCTGGCCCTGTGTGACCGGGCGGGCCGCCCAGAATGCCCCATTTATTCCGAGCCGCATCAACAAAACCGAGCAGGACAACGGGCCTGTGTCCCGGCTTCGATGGCACCAACTTGGCGGCCTCCTACAGACCCGAGTTCCAGCTCCAGTTGTTCCCGTGAGGGGGGAGGGGGAGGGGAGGGGGAGGGGGAGGGGAGGACGTAGGTGGGGCGGCTCGGTCTGGGCTGGGCTCAGAGGCAGGAGCCCCATTTCTGGGCCTGTGTGCTCTTGGTCTTTCTTTTTAACATATTTTATTTATTTACTTTTAGACAGAGGGGAAGAGAGGGAGAGACAGAGAAACATCAGCGTGTGGTTGCCTCTTGTGCGCCCCCTGCTGGAAACCTGGCCTGCAACCCAGGCCTGTGCCCTGACTGGGAATTGAACCAGCGACCCTTTGGTTCACAGGCCTGCACTCAACCCACTGAGCCGCACCAGCCGGGGCTGGGCCCGGATGTTCCAGACCGCAGATCCTGCTCCGTGGGCCCCAAGGGGTGAAAACCACCCCCCAAGCCGATGTTCCCAGGGAAGAACAGTGGGGCAGGCTGGGGGCCACGCGGATAGCACGGCCTTCTGGGAAACCACGGTGCCGTCTCAGTTAGGGAGACCCCCTGGGCGGGGCGGGAAAGGGCAGCACAGAACGACTCCATGGCTCCCAGACCCTCATTCTGCCAGCCCATCTGCTTCCCCTCTGTAAGGACGCCAGCCGTCGGGCCCAGGAGCCACCTGGACCCAGCGGGACGGCACCTGAACTTGAACTGCACCTGAGGAGGCCCTGGTCCCAGACAAAGGCGTGGCCTCGGTGCATCAGGGGTGCAGTCCCACCCACCGCAGGCACCAGCTCCCGGGAGCTGCCCGTGGTCCTCACAAAGGTTCCGCCGTCTGGCACCCCCCGAAGATTCATCGGATCTGGAAAAACGGAGGTCCTTCCAGAGGATTGAAGTTATTTTAAAAGGCAGCGGGGGCTGGGGGGTTGGGGCAGCTCTGAAGTCACAGTGTCAGTAGCCGACTTCACGAAGGGCAGACAGATCCACACAGATCTTACACAGGTAACCCCGTGTCCAGCCGTGAACAGCCTGCGCTTCCTGCCCAGACTAGCCCGGCTCCAAGCCCGTGGTCTTTTCGAAGCGAGGACGGTCCAGGCCCACCCTGTGGCCCTGCATGCGTCACCCCTGCTCTGGAAGCACATTCCCGCACCCCGTCCCCCGGCCGCCCGCATGGGCTCCAGAGCCCCAGGCTCCGCTGCCCTCTAGCCCCCCGGGGCGGGGCCTCCAGGGCACAGTGGCACAGCCCGGCTCCTCAGGAACCACACACCTGCCCTGCGGACACCGCTCAGCTACCCCCCATCCAACCCCGTGCCCGAGGGCGGGGCCAGGGACCACAGCCTCCGTGTGCTGCGTCTGCCCGCAGGAGCCCAGGGGCACCGCTCTCCTCTCCTCCGGCGACCGGGCGGCGCCCCTCTAAGGACCGGGTGGAATTGAAGACGTGCCCACGCTGCGGGCAGACCGGGCACCAGCCCACGCGCAGAAGCCCACGCAGGAAATCAGGACACGGACCTATGTCTTCTCCGTTTATTATCACAATAAATAGCTCACAGCGATGACTGCGGGGAGGGGGGGGCCCACGGCGGCCGGAGCACGTGCCGGGGTCTGGGGCCACTGCCCACGGGGACGGGCCGTGGTTTCCTGTGGTTTTCACGATAAGCGTTTATGGTTTTTACAAAAACACCAAAGCTATGACTCTTTTTAATTTAAAAAACACAGAAGTCGCTTCGCGGACGCTGTGTGGTTGGGACGCCTCGGCTCTCTCCCGAGAACAGCCAGACACCGCCGTCCAGACCAGAGCCTCAGGGGCGCGGCCCCCGCCCCCCCACCCCAGGGAGGTGCCGCTCCTTCCTCTGCCGTGGGTCCGTCTTGCTAGAAGGTTCTCTCCGCACGCTCTTCACGAGGGGGCTCACGCCCCAGGACAGGAGGGGGCGATGCTCCCGTTGTCCCAGAGGAAGCCAGTGAGGCCCCCCGTGGGCCCCCACGCCCCCTTTCCTCCTCTTCCTCCACAGGGTCACCACTCCAGCCCCCTCGGACCCTCCGGCCAGCCTGGCACCCGGCCTCCCCAGGGCAAGAGCCTTCCTCCAAACTCTCCGCACCTCGGCGTCCCCCCGGCGTCCCCCTCAGGCCTTCAGCAGGGCCACCGTGTGCTCGGGGACCGACTCGTCGCCGACGTTGTAGGGCTGGGTCCCCGGCTCCTGACTCAGGAACTTCTCTGCAAAGGACGACGGGTTTTGGGTTTCACGGGCGTGAGCCTGGGCGGGCCCACGGGAGGGGACCGCCGGCCCCGGCTCAGGATCCCGGGGGCCACGTCCACGCGCCTGGCATCACCGCCTCCCCTTCCCTGCCACGGGGACCCTTCCTGGTGGGTGGGGGGCCAGTGTGCCCCCCCACTGCCGCCTCCCACGGAGGGGCGTCTGGGCGGCCTCCTTCCGGCAACGGCACGGATGAGGCGCAGCCACCACGCGGAGCTGAAGCAGCCAGACCCAACGACCCCTCCGCCCCGTCTCCTGGGGCGTGCTGGGGGCGCAGAGCCAACCACGGCGGGAGGAACAGGACAGCAGCCCCGCCGTGGGGGTCCCTGCAGGGGGGCCGAGGGCTGTTCTGGAACGAGGGGATCTGCTCCGCCTGCCCCGTGGACGCCCGGCCGGGTCCGTCAGCCGGAACCGACACTGCCGGGCGGGGTCTGTGTGCGAGCCGGACCTCCCCGGAGACACGCACTGGAGAAGCGCCCCCGGCACCAGGGGGCCCCCCAACTGCCCGTTCCCTGTGTCCCCGTCACTGGGCTCCGGCGTCCCACCCTCCCATCCCCCAGAGTCCCGTCCGCTGTCCCCGCCCGCCCCGGGACACGCCGGGCTGTCCTGCCTGCGACCCTGCCCGCACCCACCTGCTGCCTCCATGGTGGGGAAGTGCCAGACACCCCTCAGGTCGGCGGCCAGCAGGGCTTGGAGGATGGATCCCTGTGGGACGCAGAGACGTGAGTGAGTGCCGGTGGGGAGGGCCCAGCCGAGGCCCGGAGACGGGCCGGCCGCCAGCTCAGCCACGGTCTCCGAGCCCGAGCCGGGGCGTCGGGAGGAGGTTTTAAGCAAGCGCCTTCCGAAGGGTGCAGAGGTACGCGCCCTGCAGACGGCACACAGACATCCCGGGCGGACGGGCCGCCGTCCTCTGGGCCTCGGCGCCCTCGGGATGACGGGAGGGGGTGACCACACCGGCTGGTGGGGCCGGCCGTGGCGGGACGCCCACCTGCAGGCCGACGAAGACGAGGGTGACGCCCGCCCGGTCGAAGTCCTCCATCAGCTCGCTGAGCCCCAGCGCCACGGTGGCGTCCATGCTGCAGACGCGGCTGCACTCCAGGATGGCGGACCGTGGGGGCGACACTGCGGAGACAGGGCGGGAGGGCCTCAGCCGGCAGGGGGGCGGTCACGGTGGGGGGCGGGGGCGGGCCCAGGGGCCCACGACAGGGGCGGGGTCTCCCTCAGAGAGACAGCCAGCCCTGCCCTTCCCTCCCCGCACCCCAGGAGAAGGAGCAGGTCCTCGGGGACCGGTGTCAGGGAAGCGTTACCCTTGCTGCCGGCTGCGTGCAGAAAGCCAGCGCCCCCCGGAATGAGAGGAGCAGACCTGGCCACGGAGGATGCTGCTGAGACACCCCCGACCTCCGGGACTGCCCGGGTGGGCAAGCGCCCCCCCACCCCGCCCCCCCCGACAGCGAGGGTAGGGCCCTGAGGCCCGGCAGCAGGCTGGTGCAGAGGGGACAGCGGGAGCTCCGGGGCGCCTGCAGCCAACCGCGCCCGGGCCACGCACCTTCCAGGGCCCGGCTCACCACCGCCTTCCGGAGAGCCTCGACGGAGGGGAAGTGCAGGCCGCTGGTCGGCTGCAGAATCAGCACCGGCCCCTCTCCATCCAGCACCTGGGGGCAGCGGCCGGGGCAGGCAGTGAGCCCTGCAGGCCAGACAGGCCAGCGGCGGCGGGCTTGGGGGCAGGGAGGGGGGTGGCGCAGAACCAGCCCGAGCTCCCGGCCCGCCCACCGCCACCCCATGCAGTGGGGTGCCCCGTGCGTCGTCCGGGCCCGCCAGCTGGCCCGTCGCTCGGCGGTGCCTCGGGCCACAGCCTGACCGGGAGCTCGAAAGGCAGGGCGAAGGGGTCCTGCCCAGGGCTCGCTGGTCCCCCGGGGCCCACCCAGGGCCGGCGGGCTCCCTTCCGGACCTGAATCTTGGGTCTGGCCTCGGAGTACAGCAGCGTCAGCGTGGACACCAGGGTCCCAGCCAGGATGCCGTACTGCACCTCCCAGAAGCACAGCAGGAAGGTCACGGCCAGGGGCAGCAGGTCCAGCCCTGGGGGAGATGGGGAGCCGCTGGGGGGTTGCTCCACGTGGAGCTGGGCGCCCCGGGGGAGGGGGGGGGCCCAGCACGCCGCGGCACTGGTTTAAGGCGCCCTCGGAAAGGGGCAGCCTGACCGGCGGCCCCGTGGCGACACCGCCCAGAACCACGCGGCCCTCCAGCCTCTGTGGGTGGGAGGGGAGTGGGGGGGGTCGGGGCCCCGGAGCCGACGGGGGAGGAGCTACGCACTCTTCACGCGCCAGAGCGTGCCCACGATGGAGGTGTCCACCAGGGGCACCACGGCTGTGATGATGACGGCCGCCAGGGCGGTCTTGGGGATGAAGTAGAAGACGGAGGTCATGTAGTCCAGCGACAGCAGCACCAGGACACCTGCAGGGCAGGACACTGCTGACCCGGGGCCCACTGGGCTCCAGGCCGACCGCGCCGCGACCCCTCCTTTCTCCCGGGTCACCGCCGGGGCACGTGGGCTCGGGGTGGGGGGGCTCACCTGTCACCAGGCCGCCCGCTGGGGTGCACACCCCCGACTGGGCATTCACGGCCGTCCTGGAAGGTAACACGGGGACCCATCAGTGGCGGTCAGAGCCAGGGAGGGGACGGCCCACACAGGCAGCTGGTCTCTGGGGACGGGGGGCTCTAGTGGGACCCTGGGGACCCCTAGTCTTAGGGGGAAATGGAGTTTTGGGGTCCCCTCCCCAAAGGGGGACGTCCCGGACCCGGAACAAGCCATGGGCGCCACCTGCGAGAAACCCAGTCAGAAATCCGGACCCCCCACAGGACCCGCAGGACTGACCCCCTGCCGCCCCCCACGGCGAGGCCCCCACACAGCTCCGCAGCGGGCGGCTGTGCTCGGAGACCAGGCCTCTGAAGGGGGCGCGACGTTAAGACAAGACCCTCCTCCGCTCTGACAGGGACCCCTCTAAGGAGAGGGGATCTGGGCTCAGAGACACCAGGATGGGCACACAGGGGAGGGGCACAGCCACGCTGGGGACTCAGTGAGAGGACGCCTGCCTGCCAAGGACAGAGGCGTCGGGAGGAGCCGGCCCCGCCCGTGCTCTGCCCCCAGCCCCCAGGGTGCTGGACGGACACGCCCTGAACATTTTAGGGGTGACCTTTCACATACAGGCTCAAGAAAACCCGAGGAGACCCTGTGGGGAGCAGGGCGAGCGACCCCCCCATGCCGGAGCAGACAGGCCGGCCGGCTGGTGACCGGGGGAAGGGAGCAGGCCAGGGCCCGGCCCGGGGAGGCTGGATCGGGGAGCGGGACAGGACCCTCTGGCCGGGACCGGGACCGCCCCGGAGGCACCGAGGGCGACAGCGGGCACTCACCGTCCAAAGCTGCCGGTGACCGGGAAGGACGAGAAGAAGGAGCCCAGCATGTTGGTCAGGCCTGGGGGGGAGGGGGGCCGGGAAGAGGCACACGTGTGAGGGGAGGGGCACGGCACGGAGGAGAGGGGGTGTGGGGGGCGGGAAGGAGTGAAGCCAGAAGGAGACAGGAAGATAGAAGGTGGGGGACCCCGAGGGGTGCCCCTTTTTCCCTAAGGCTCCCACAGGGAAGGACACAGAAACCCGGTTCCCCGGGGGGCCCCCTCGCACCCCAGCCCTGGCTGGGGGGGACCCAGTGGAGACAGCAGCCCTGCCTCCAGCCGAGGGAGCCGAGGGCAGGGCGGCCCAGTGTGGGGAGTGGGCTGCCCCCTGCCCTTCTCCCAGTTCAGGGGCGGGTCGTGGCCAGCGAGCTGCCTCCCCAACAGGATGCTGATTACCCCGCACGGGACAGAGCCCACACCCAGGGCCTGGCCATCAGCCCACAGCGGCTGTCTTGTCCAGGAACCGTCCCAGAGGCCACGGTCTCCCTGCCCCGCAGGACCCACAGCGGGGCCCCAGACTCAGGTCCTGCTGGGGTGGGGTCCACTCAGAACCGGGCCCTCGTGGGGCCTGGGGCCCTCGTCCTAGGATCAGGGGCAGATAGCAGCAGGCGTGGCCCCAGCTCTGCAGGACTCGGGTGGGGGACCCTCCCGGGGCCAGCCGCCTGGGGGTCTGTGTCAACCGCCCGCTCTGTGCTGACTGAGAGCCGCCTGCCTGGCACCCCCGGGCCGCAGCCTGGGCCTGGGCCGCACCCCAGACCCCCCCACCCTCAGGAGCGGGCGGACTCCGTGCTCCTGGCGGGCGTGAGGATGAGCAGCGCTGCGGGCCCCCCAGGGAGCACCTGGTGGTGGGCACGGGGGTCAGTCTTTCTCTGTCTAGGGGAGCGATTCCTGGGACCCCCCCCAATCCCACCGACCCATGGGGCAACACCCCGTCCACCGGGAGCTCAGAGAGCAGCACGGGGAGCACCCCCGGGGCCCCACGCCCCTGCCACTGAGAAGCCCCACAGCCGGGGTCCCAGACGCTGCCCTGAAGGGGCTCCCGGGGGGCCCCTGGGAAGGCACCTGGCAGAACCCCCCACAACGCCTGCGCCCGCCTCCAGAGGGGCACAGCGCGGAGGCGGAAGGCCCGGCCGCTGATCTAAGTGTCCCTCTCTCTCTTTCTCCCTCCCTCACTCCTCCTCTGAAACTGAACGAATAAAACCCTTTAAAAGGTTTTTTAAAAACTGAAAAGTAAAAACAGCAGCGACAATCAAAACGGAGAGTCTCGCCGTGGTCTCCACACGAACCACCGGAGGGGCAGGCGCGCGAAGACGGAAGAAAACTCAGTGGGGTGCTTGCCGCAGGCACCCCCACCCCACCCCCGTCGGGCGGCCCCCCGCTGCACGGCCCCCTGCCGGCCTGGAGGGACAAAGGCACTTGGGGACCAGCGCCATCAGCAGGCCCACTGGGGGCTGCCCGGCTGCTCAGCTGCGTCCTCCAGCACCCTGACCCCGGGAGAAACGCCCTGGGCACTGGTGACGTGAAACAGGACACAGGCCTCGGGGTCTGGTCCACAGCGGGGGCTCAGGAGGGGCGCTAAGTACCAGCTCCCTGCTCCAGGCAGGGCGGGAGGGCCCCCTGGAGACCGGGGGATGGGGGTCCCCCCTGGCACCGCAAAGACCTAGCTCAGGGCCCCCTCTGCTGCCCGCTCCTCCTCGCGCCCGCCACTGCCACGGGCCCAGCTCCCGCAGGACGCGCCCGCACGCATGCACGCCCGGCCCCGGGAGGGCGGCGCTGGGGTCTCACCGATGGACAGCAGCTCCTGGTTGGTGTTGATGCGGTAGCTGTTTTGAGACGCTAAAGAGAAGGGGCGATAGAAACACCGTCACTAGGTAGGTGACACCAGTGGGAAAAGGTTCGTGAGATGGACAAACAGGCCACACGCGTCCACCCACGACCCCAAGTTTTGTAAACATAAACACATAAACGCGCCTGAAACACACACACGCACACGAGTGTGCGCAGGGACACGCCTGCGGGTCTCAGAAGACAAAGGCAGGCGGGGTGCGAGGAGGGCGGGGGGCGGGGTGCGAGGAGGGCGGGGGGTGGGGGGCGGCGGGCGCCTTACCGAAGGATCTGGCCACCGCGATGCTCTCCAGGAGGCCCATGAGGGGCACCACGGCCAGCCCGGCCCCCATGTCCTGGGGGAGAGGAAAGGACTCACACCCACTGTCCACCCCAAAGGGTTTTCCCTTCCAAACCTGGAGCGGCTCGAGGCGGCACCGTGCGTCACTTTGTAGCACGTCCAGCCCCCCCAGCCCCCACCTGCCTTCGCTTTCTGTTTTTCTGGTTATCTTTTCCATGGGGGGGGGGGGGTATCCTGGAACCCACACCTCGGGGCTTTCCCGCATCTTGGCCGTGACTTGGGAAACGGCGTTCCCTCAAGGTCAGCTGCCCCCTCCCCCACCCCCCGGCCCCGACTCGGGACGCCGAGGCAGATCCCGGGTCTGGCGGCAGGAGCGTGCTGGCCTCGCGGTGGGGCCGGGGGCTCGCACGAGCCAGGCGGCCTCTCCTGACTGTACAAGGAGCAGGACCCGGTGAGTCCCCGCCCCGCTGGCGTGCACAGTGGCAGGGAAACCCCAGGCCAAGGCAGGAAAGTCAACTCGGGGGGGGCCCCCTGAGGCCGGGGCCCCCTCTGGAGTTCCTTCCCGCCGGCCCCTGCCCCCACAGACGCCCCTTCGAGCGGTGAGCTCCCAGCTGAGTTCAGGGCTCCCTGCCGCCGAGCAGGTGGACGAGGACAGACCAGGCCCGGGGCCCACGGCGGCCTCGGCCAGGCTGGCCCGGCGCCGCCCCTGCTCACCTGCAGCATCTCAGTGAAGGAGACCGTCCCATTGGCGGTGGACAGAGAGAAGGGGGGGACCTGCAGGGGCGGGAGCCCCTCGACAATCTTCCCGGTGAGGATGAAGGGCTGGCACCCGGTCACCTCGAAGGAGTAGGCGATCAGCGCCGCGAAGGAGACCACCAGGGCGTTCCGAGCTGGGACAGGGAGAGAGGGGCCCGCGGGTGGCGCCTGAGTGTCCTGGGGGAGGCGGCGGAAGACCCCGCCCCGGGCACTGCAGCCTGGGACCCGTGGGGACACTGTGGGGGCGTTTGTGGCGCAACGAGCCCGTGACACCGTGGGAAACGCACGGCGGTGGGACAGAGGACGGGCCGCACAAGGTGCCGGTACAGGTGTCACCCACCGGCCACCGGGGAGCGCAGAGCCAGCTGCGCAGCGGAACCCCTTCGAGACCAGATGACCCAGGACAGTTCTCAGAAGCGAGATGGAGCAGGAGAACGGGCCTTCCCGGCGCCTGAGACCACGGGGCCCGGACAGAGGGCGTGGGGGACGGTGCGCACGTCTGTGTGTGTGGGGGTGGCCCCGGGCCGAACCCCCACAGACGAAAACCTGAGTGTCTGACACGAAAAACACGCCGGGTGGAGCTCCACACGGATCAGGCCCTGCGGGGGTCTGGGAGGCGTGGCCTGTGGACCGGAAGGCGGGTGCGGACGCCACCCAAGACGAGCCCACGGAGCAGACGGGCCCTGACACGCGGCACGGAGCGGTGCGGCCGTCTGGAGGGGCCGATCTGTGCGCAGCAGATCCACGCGGAAGCCCGAGCCGGCGGGGGTGGGGGCGGGGAGAGCACACCGGCTCAGAGAAATAGTGGCTGCATTACATTCCAGATTCGATGGAGACTGCCAACCCGCACCTCCCAGAAGTTCAATGGACTCCAAGAAGAGACTGGGCGGGGTGGGGGTGGGGGGACAAACTACAAGACACGTCTTAGTCAGAGGACCTGGAGCCAGCGATGAGGAGGGAACTGTAAACGCGGCCAGAGACAAGGGCCCCACAGAGGGGACAGAGACGAGAACAACAGCAGACCTCCTGCCGTACAGGGAGCAGGCGTGGGGACAGAGCGGTATCTTTAGAGTGCGGAAAGGGGGCCCTGGCCAGGGAGTTCCGTTGGTTCGTGGGGTCCCCACACACCACGGATGTGGGGTGGGTCCCCGGTCAGGGCACAGGCAAGGACCAGCCAGCGAACACACCAGCACGTGCAGCAGCACTCCATGCATCTGTTTCTCTCGCTTCCCGCCTCTCTAAAATCAATGAATTTAAAAAATATATTTATAAGATTTTATTAATTTATTTTTAGAGGGAGGGGAAGAGAGAAAGAGGGAGAGAAACATCAGTGTGTGGTTGCCTCTCACGCGCCCCCTACTGGAGACCTGGCCTGCAACCCAGGCGTGTGCCCTGAGTGGGAATCGAACTGGTGACCCTTCAGTTCACAGGCCAGCACTTGATCCACTGAGCCCCACCAGCCAGGGCTAAAGTCAATGAGTTTTTCAAAACATTAAAAAGGAAATAAAATACGGAAGGGGTGGGGGGAGACCTGTCTAGAATCCTACGTCTAGCGAAACGACCTTCCAAACATGAAAGCAAAACAAAGACTTTCCCAGAGACATCGGAGCGGAGAGACCCGTCACCAGCAGGCCTGCGCCCCGGGGACCGAGGAAGGGGGTCCTCGGGGCGGCAGGAGAGTGATGGCCGTGCGTCCGCACGGAGGAAGGGCGGGCGCCGGCCAGAATGCCACGGGCACACGTGGAACACTCGGTTCTCCCGGGTGGGGTGTGCCGAGGGTGAGGCCGGGGTCCCGGGGAAGGACACTGCGCGGCGGCCGGAGCCCGAAGGCTCTCGGGCCCACAGGGGGCGGATGGCGCAGCGGGGGGGTGGACAGCGGCGGGCGAGGAGGGCGCGGCACACCCCGCAGCGGCTGCTAGCAAACGAAAGCAAAGCACACGCACAGCAGCCAGTGAGCCGGTAAAGGAAATAAAGAGGAATCTATTTCTGACAAACGCACACTTCAAGCACGAAGATGAAATGAGCTAGACACGTCAGGAGTGAAGGGATGGGAAAGTGTATGTCAATGTTAGTCAAAGAGACGGGGGCAGCTGAATCAGTATCAGACGGAACAGATTTCAGAGCAAAGAGTGTCACCAGGAACAAGGAGAGTCATTTCGAGAGAAAATTGTAACTCAATGCGCACATACAAGGTGCGTTCTCTGACCACCGTGAAGTTCAACTAGAAACGAAAGGGATATGCTAACTGGAACATCCCCCAAATCTTTGGAACGAAATAGCTTCTAAGGAGCCTCTGTCTCAAAATAGAAATGAAATGCTCCATTTCTAAATAACCCCCGAGTCAAAGGCGAAGTCGAAACAGAAACCAGAAAGCACTTAGAGCCGAAGGAACACGCGGCCCATGGAAACTGCGGGACGCGGCCAAGGCCGCACTTTGAGGGTAATTTATAGCCGTGCAACAAGAAAAGCAGGAAGGTCTCAAACCGAAGTCCTCCGTGGCCCCCTTCAGAGTCTGAAAGACAAAGGTGAAGGGAACCCCAAACAAACTGTGGAAAGTGCTAACAATCAGTACTGATCCGAGCAGAGATCAGTGACTGGGAAGCAGAAGCGACACAGAGACCAGGGAAATCGGAAGCTGGTCCAGTTTCCTAAAGCGATGCCACCCACAGGGTCTGGGGAGAAAGGGGACGCGGCCCCCGAGAGGCTGACGCTTTCACAGCCGCATTTCTCAGGCTTTCCTGGCGAGCATGTTACCAGGCGGCTTCCGAGTCCGAGGCCCATGTGGGGCCTGAGAATTGGCATTTCCGAGAAGCCCCCAAGGCCGTGCGGGTGCTGGCCCCGGGCCTCACATTGAGCGTCGAGGGTTTACGAACAGAGCGTCTGCCTGTCTTTGCCCGTTTGCTGACGACCAACCGGACTGAAGCTCAGAGACTGTGTGGCGTGGCTCAGGCGAGACGAAACGCCAGGAAGGCGGCAAAGCCGGGCCCTGAAGCCTCGTGTGTTCACGCCAAGCCTGTGCTCCTCCCCCACCCCTGGGGAGCCCTCGCCCCTGCTCATGCTTCTGGTCTGCAGGATGGGGTCTGGGGGGCGACTCTGGGCCCCGGGGACCACCTGCGCAGCTGGAAGGGACTCAAGGGCTGGACTGAGCAACCCCTCCTCCCACAGCCGCTGGACTTCGTGGCCGTGGCAGAGCAGGGCCACGTGCTGTGAGACTTCCACGCCCCCCCAGCTCTGCAGAGGCCCCGAGCACACCTGTGCTTCCTTCCTGTCCCGCGTCTGCCTTCCTCTCTGGGAGCCACCGACGGGCACTGGCAGCTCAGCCACAGGGACCTCCGAGGAAGGGTCCCTGCCTGCCCAGCGACGGCCACACTGACCAGGCTGCCACCGCAGGCCACGCAGCGCAGCTGCAGGGGCGGGGCCTCGGCCGGAAGGCCCCTCACCTGTGGAGGCAGTCCACACCAGGCCGCAGCTGACGCGCATGCTGGTGGGCATTTCGTGGTAGGACGGAGGGACGTGGCCGCGCATCAGCTTCAGCATCACCAGCAGCAGCATGCACACCATCCCCAGCACGACGTCGCCCGGCCTGCGGACAGACGCTGGTCACCGCCCCGCCCGGCCCGGCCCGGGGCACACGCCTCCTGGCCTCCTGGCGATCCCCCTCCTGCCGGAAAGCTCTCTCTCCTTTGCTCTTTTTTTACTTTCTCCTACAAAATCTGCACCCCTGCTCTATTTCAAAACTTGGCAGGTGCACAGGTGGGTGCAGGACCGGGGGCGGAGGTGGGTCACAGCGGAAGCAGGGCTGGAGAAAACACTTTCGGCTTCCGGTCACGTGGTTCTCTGGACCACGCAGGCCTCATCGGTTCCAGGAGGTTCGCTCCTGACAACCTAGGACGGTCTCCATCCCGTCAGTCTCCGTTTCTGACCCCCCCACCAGCTTCACGTCCTTGGCCAGAGGGGTTGGCCCCCGAGGAAGCCTCAGCAGCAGAGCTGAGGCCTGGAGGGGGTCCCCCCACCCGCCTCGCCTCTGCCCCCCAGGGCAGCCCCTCCTTCAGCCCTCCTCAGATCACTCCTTCCGGCCAGAGGTGCCCTGGCTTCCAGCCGGACTCACCTAGGAGTGTCTCCTGTTTGTCCCTTTGACCCGCCCGCCCTCTGGGAGAGACCCCTCCACGGGGCAATGCTGGATGCAGCAGCCCTGGTCCCCATCCCCGCGCCACCTGCCGGCCATCCCTGGGGCTCCAGCACCACCTGCTGGTCGTTGTCTTCTACCTGCTCCGCGCCCTCTGTTCCTCACAGAACGACAGAGTTCCCGAGCCTGCCTGACCCTCCCCATTACAGGGTCTCTCCCCACGGCCACCCCCAAGACGGGCTCCCCTCGGGACCACAGGGGCCGGCTCTCAGGCCGCCCGGGGCAGACATCTCCGCCTTCCCCGTGCACCGGACTGATTCAACAGGCTGGCGGGGCAGCTCTCTGGTGGCCCTGACAGCGCAGCCGCAGCCGCAGGGACCCCGCGGGCGCAGCAAGGCCCCCGAGGACGAAACACCTGCCACCTGGAGTGGAGGGGGAGGGGCCGGGAGTGCGGAGCAGACAGCCGCCGGCGGGATACCTGGTCTGTCCGATGTTGCGGAAGGTGTGGTACACCTGCAGGAAGAACTGTCTCGGGACGTGCTGCAGCCCCAGCAGGTTCTGTCCGAACACAGAAGCTCCGATTAGCCGGCCTTCCCCAATCGAGGCCCGAGGCCGCTCCCGACACGGGCCCTTCCGGGGGGGCACATCTCACGGGTCCGGGGGACCACCGGCCCACTCCCCAACACAGACCAAAGTCCTCAGGGGAAAGGACATTTCACAACGTTGGGGTTTAAATGACACAGCCTGGCAAATTATTCACGTTTCTGGGAACACGGACGATTTCAAAGCAGGGAGATCGGTTTTTGCGCAGCGGTCATTGGCACGGTCTGGCCCGCCCCTGTTGCGCAGGCCCTATTGTCATTGGCTGGCAGCTGCATCTGTCACTAAGCAGCCCGCCCCCCGTCTCGTAGACTCTGCCCTCATTGGCCCCAGGCTACGTCCACCACTCCGAGGCCCGCCTACCAGCACTGCCCCCTGCCGGGATGAACAATTACGAGGTGCAGGCGTCGCGGCAAAACCTCCCCCGACCCCCGAGTAGCTGGGGGGGGCCCAGACCCACCCCCCTGCGAACTGGGTCCTCGAAACGGAAAAGGGGCTCCACTCTGTGCTTTAGTCCCTTATCCCTCTGGAGACCCGGTGGGGAGTGTCCGAGGGGAAGTCCAGGTCCAGCTCCAGAGCGGTCAGCTCCCAGGACCCCAGACCCGCGCACACACAGCCCTGAAGGGAAGGGGCTTGGGGGTGGGCGGGCACGGCTGGGGCGGCTGTCCTGGGAGGTCTGGGGGACCCCCACTGGCACCACGGCCCAGGGGCTCTCCCAGATGGCTGCTGCGACCCGGACTTCTGGGACCCGGGTCTCTCAGTACCAACGCAACAAGCAGCCACCCTGTACGCCCATCAGGATCGTGTAAATCGTCATCATCGCTGACGAAAAACGAAGGACCTCGCTCGCAGGTCCAGAACAGACCTACCCACCCCACAGTGCGGGGCCAGCTCAGCCTGCTCTGCGCATCGAGGGCCCCGCCCCCTGCAGGTGGCCCCGCCCACGCCTCTCTGTGCTGGCAGCTTCTTCCTCCCTCCCTCCCTCCCTCCCTGCAGGTAATGACGCACCTACCTTCCTCCCACGGGCGTCGTGAGACTTAAACACAGGAAGAGTGCCGACCCCAGCCGCCCCCCACCCCGCACACAGGAGGAGGACTGCTTTATTCTCACACGCCCCTCTCCTCCTCCGTGTTTTCTCTCCCTGGGGGGCGCTCAGGGGCCAGCTGGGAGCAGGACCTTGCAGTGGGCAGGGGGTGGTGGAGGGGCTGCCATGGTGACACCAGGTCACCAGGAGGGGCCCGGCCAGGGTCGGCCAGGGCAGGCGCCCTTGGCTTCCCCTGTGCTGTTGGGCCACCTGAGCGCTTCCTTACCTGCCCGAGACCGAGCAAAGCCAGCGCCTGCCCTCCAGGAGCCTCAACGCTCCTCGGGGCCCAGTGAACACTTCCCCTGTTTCTTAAAGATGTGTAAACATAAATGTAAAGAAGCACCGCATGTGAAAAATATTAAGTACCCATTTTACAGAAAACGTAAGATGGAATCAGCCAAATCAGTGTGGGGAGTCCCTTGCTGGAATCTGGCAGCACGCTTTGGAAAGAGGACGGGACCACTCTGTGAGGGGCGGAGTCCTGTCCGCCCGCCCCGCTGGTTTCCTGCTCTAGACCCTGACCTTCGCTCAGCAGCCCCCCGGGGCTCGCTGGGTGCGGAGACCTGGGAGCGCCCTGAGCTCTGGACCAGCTCACCTTGATCTGCCCGAAGGCTATGGTGATGGCGGCGGCAGAGGTGAAGCCTTTGATGACAGGGCAGGAGATGAAGTCCAGCAGGATGCCTGGTGGGCCAAGGGGGAGCACTGAGCTGGCCCCGGAGGGCTCGGGTGGACACGGGCCGGGAGAGGGGTGTGGGTGGGGCGGGCGCGCCATCCAGGTTGGTTTGGAGAGCAGCAAGGGGTGGCGAGGGGAGGAGGGCCCTGGGCTCTCCTCCAAGTAGCATGGCCTCTAAGCAGAATGGGGGGGGGCAGGAGGCTGGGGCACCCCCACTCCACCCTCACAGGGGTAGCCCTTGCAATGCCAAGAAGGAAATGTTGAGGGCAGGGCATCCCCAAGAGGCAGGTGACTCGGCTCCCCAGCAAGGAAGGCCCCCACGGCGGGAAGGGCCGGAGTCTCACCCAGGCCCAGGAAGCTCATGGCTAACTGGATGCAGCCCGACAGGAAGGCCAGCAGCACAGCGTAGGCGGGCTCGTGGAAGGTGTAGGAGGACACCAGGAGGGACATGATGGCCGTGGGGCCCAGCGTCACGTCCCGGGAGGTGCCCAGGAGTAGATACACGAAGCACCCCATGAAGGCGGAGTACAGGCCGTACTGTTGGGGACAGAAAGCCGTGAGCTCCCTCCCAGGAGGCAGGCTCACGGGGCGCCTGGGGCAGACGTCCGAGGGGTCCCATGTGGACGCAGGGCGCCCCAGCGCACGCCGGCAGGGAAACCGCTCGCCCTCTCCTACCCCCACATGCCAACCTGCAGCCATTGCGGGGGGGGAGGGGGCGGCTTTGCTCTACCAGCCTTAAGAGCACAAAAGTGTGTGGCATCGGGGTCTGCTTCTGGGCACCCCCCCGGCCCCATCAGGCACCCCTGAGCTAGCTCGGTGCCTGTGTGGCAGGGTGACAAGGGTGGTTCTACTGCCGTGTCTGCCCAAGGGCAGTCACGTGCTCCAGGCTGCAGACCAAGGAGTCCCCGATCCTGTGGCCGAGCCCCGGGCGCCCCCTTGTCTGGGGGGAATACGGTGCATTGCTGCTGAGCTTCTGGGCGGGCAGAGTGGGGTCAGGCAGCGTGGAGGGACGGGGGGGGGGGACAGGCCCCTCCTCACCTGGGCCGGGAGCCCGGCCACCTCGGCATAGGCCAGCGCCTGGGGAATGACCGTGAGCCCGACCGAGAGCCCCGCGATGAGGTCCATCTTCAGCCACTGCATGGAGTAGTCGGGCAGCCAGGCCAGGATGGGCAGCCACCTCTGCAGCGTGGCCCGGGAGCAGCAGCAGGCCATCGGGGCCAGGCCAGGGGGCCAGGGGGTGGCCCGGTCCATCGCCTTCAAGGATGACGACATGTCTGTGGAGGGGGGATGCGGACCGGCAATCAGGGACTGGGCTTCAGAGACCCGGGCAGTAGGGCGAGGGTCTGGGGGAGACCCCGTCTGTCTGCTCCCCAGCCACAGGTTTCAGTCCCGAGGATTAGGGAGCCTCAACCGGTGGTGGCACCCCCTCCCCCATTCATTCCCCCCCACCCCCCACCCCCCGCCCGCCACTGCTCCCCTGCACCTCACCTCCTGAACCCCAGGTGCCTCCTCTCCCTCTGTCAGTACTTGCTTGCCAGGGACAACAATCACCGGTTTCTCAATGAGAAGCCTCAACACTAACTATACGCAAGCTTTGTCCTCGGGGGAGAATTTGTTTCCTTTTTTTTTTTTTTTTTTTTCCTCCCGCGAAAATCCAACTGCGAGAAACGCAGAGAGAGGCAGGCTCATGGGGTGCACCCCTCGTCTGGCTGCTGGGGTGTGGGTGGGGGCTGGAAGCCCAGAGGGGCCCCAATTTTCTAAGTGCGCACTAAGGCCCACTGCGGCGCTGACGCGCGGGGCTGCAGCTGGGGGGCTCTCCCGCACTGAGGCTGCGCAGTACTCCAACCCCCACCTGTGGCATCCGCATCCCTAGAGGGGCCCCAAGGATTCTAGTTGGTTCTGGAAAAACGTCAAAGGCCCCTCCACTAATTCCAAGTGCGCAGCATTTTCCAGAGCCACCCGCAATCCCCCGGCCCCGCGGGGTCGCTCTGGACGGAACCATCCCCGACCCCGGGAGTCTATCCCGGCCCTCGGCGTCTAAGAATGAGGACCCCCACCAGCCGGCGGTCCGCAGCCCACAGACCCCCGCGAGACCAAGGGCGGCAGGGACTTGGGGAGGGATGGGGTAGGTGGGCAGCGGGGGTCCCCGCGGGAGGCGCCCCCACCCTCGGGCCCCGTACCGCCCGCCGCGTCGGTCGCCTCCGGCGACCCCGGCCGGTCCCCGGCAGTGCACCCACCCCGCCCGGGCCCCTCGCCACCCCCCACCCGCCGCGGACTCACCGAGCGCCGCAGCCTCACCGAGCGCCGCAGCAGCAGCAGGTCTCCCCTCGTCGCCGCAGCGGCGTCTGCAGGAACCGCTCCGGAGGGGGCGCGAGAGGCGGGACAAAGGCGGGGCCAGGGGCCTCGTGACCACGCGGGGCGGGGCCTGGAGCTCACGTGACCGCGGGCGGGCGGGGCTGGGAGCCGCCGCCATGCACTGCCCGGGGCAAGTCTGCTGGGCGCTACTGCTAGCCGTGGGGCTCTGCCTCGCACAGCGGGCGCGCCCCCGGAACGTGCTGTTGATCCTCGGTGAGTGCGCCCTCGCCGACCCGCCGCCACCGCCCTTTGTCGCCCCCAAAAGCGGCTACTCGCCCCTCTGCAGCCGCGGTCTCTGTGGACCCAACGTGCCCTGAAACCCTTACTGCCATTCCCTCCCCGTCCCATTCTCTGCGTCTCCCCGACACTTCGCGGTCGACCCCTGGGAGAGAGAGGCACCGCAGCCTGTCCACCGCGGGGTGTGCAAGCATCGGCCGCAGCACTCAGCACCCCACTCTTGCGGCGGGCTCTGACCCTGCACCCCCTCCCCTGCTCCGATCCCCCAGCTCCGAAGGCCGGTGGCTTTCCAGAATTCGGGTCCACAGATCCCAGAGTAGGTGCCAGAGAAGGGCTGGCGCCCAAGTTCCCAGAGGCTCGCATCTCCTCGCCAGCGTTTTTCGGGATCCCCAAAAGCAGAGGGCTCTGCTCCTCACCCCAGAGCTGCCCTCTTTCCCAACCCCAGCACCCGCCCCAGAAACTCCAAGTTCCTCCAGCGCTCTGCCGTCCACGAGACTTGCCTGTGGGTGACCAGCAGGCGGTCACACGGCAATCCGGTTATTTCCTCTTTTGAGGTCTGGCCCTCTGCCAGGCCGGCTCTTTCTGATAAACTCTGGCCTCCCCCGGGGCCCCTTCCGCCAGTGGCGACAGAAACAGCTCTCCCCTGGGGGTTCTGGTTAACTCCCCGCCCAAAGACGCCCGTGGAGACCGCCCGCAGGTCCCCGTCCTTGTGCCACACACGGCTCTGTGACACTTGCCCGCTCAGCTGCCCACCTGAGCACCGGCCCACCCGCGTTCGGTGCCTGCTGCTGCGCACCATGTTCCCACCTGCCTGGTAGCGGCGCCGCTCGAGTCCTGGGCCTGGCGAACACCACCCTGGCCCAGGTGTCCTGGTCTCTCGGGTCACGCCCACCCGGGTGTCACACCCACCTGGGTGTCGCGCCCTCCCAGATGTCTGTCTGCGTGGGTGGCACACTGGCCTGGGCGTCGCCGGCCCAGGGCACTGCCCCAGGACCCGGACCTCCTCCCCTCCCACCTGTGGCTGCCCTCCCCCCTGAGCCCAGTGGCCACGTCCTCCGTGTCCCCCGCCCCCCCGCAGCGGACGACGCGGGCTTTGAGAGCGGCGTCTACAACAACAGCGCCATCGCCACCCCGCACCTGGACGCCTTGGCCCGCCGCAGCCTGGTCTTCCGCAACGCCTTCACGTCCGTCAGCAGCTGCTCTCCCAGCCGCGCCAGCCTCCTCACCGGCCTGCCCCAGGTGAGGGGGGGGGTCGGGCTGGGGCGGGGCCTGCCGGCGGGAGAGCCCCTGGCGTGCCCACTCCCCACACGACGTCCGTGAGCCGGTGTGCACGGGGCCTCCCTGCCGGCCGGCTGGGGGGAGGCTGGGAGCAGGGGCCCCTTGGGCTGGGGACAGAGGCCTGGGCACAGACCACCGCCCACCAGAGACGCTGGGCGCAGGGGGCTCGTAACACACGGCGAGTCCTCTCACGCTGTGAGACGGCCGGTCGATAGAAAGGCCTGCAGCTGCCTCCTCTTTCCTCTCCACGGCGTGGGCCCCGCACGGCCGGAGGGTTGGAAAGCGCAGGATGAAGGGGAGGGTGGAGGCCGCCCTGTCTGGGCCAACAGGGTCCCAGTCTGGCGTCTCCCGAGCATGTCCGCGAGTGTCCCGGGAGGGGCCTGCAGGGCCGCCTGGAGGACAGACCGGGCCCAGGAAGGGCCAGAGTGGCAGGCCATGGGGCGGGCAGGAGCAGGGCTCCACACGGTGGTGGTGGCCCCGGCCCCAGCTCACTGCATCCCTGCCGGCAGCACCAGAATGGCATGTACGGCCTGCACCAGGACGTCCACCACTTCAGCGCCTTCGACGGGGTGCAGAGCCTGCCGCTGCTGCTCCGCGGGGCCGCCGTCCGCACAGGTGAGGGCGAGGACCCGGGCCTCCCGGCTGGACCCCAGGTCCCCAAGGACGAGGGTCTGGGTGCCTCCGCAGGGGCCGCGGGGCCCTCCCCCCTGGGAGGGAGCAGAGGGGGTCGGCGGAAGGGGCTCTGGACAGCCTCGGAAGGGGCTCTGGACGGCCTCTCCCGCCCAGGCATCATTGGGAAGAAGCACGTGGGGCCAGAGGCCGTGTTCCCGTTCGACTTCGCTCACACGGAAGAGAACGACTCGGTGCTCCAGGTGGGGCGCAACATCACGAGAATCAAGCTGCTGGTCCGGGAGTTCCTGCAGACTGGGGACCCCAGGTGCGGGGCGGCCCCTGCCCCCTCCCCTCCCCTCCCCTCCCCCACAGGGCCAGTCCTCCGGCCAGCTGACCCGGGGCACACGTCCCAGAGTCTTTATTTGGAATCCCCCAGACGGGGAAGGGTGGGGGTGGGGGAGGAGGGCCCCGACACTTGGGTCAGCCAGGTCGGGGGGAGAGGGCACATGGGGAAACTGAGGCAGTGAGCGTCACAGGGACTTCCGGGTGAAGCTGAGAAGGCTCTCAGGGGCGTTCCTCCCTGAAATGGGGGGCCCCCGCGGGTCAGAAGCCAGGCCTCGGCCCTCACACCCCCGCCCCTCACAGGCCCTTCTTCCTGTACGTGGCCTTCCACGACCCCCACCGCTGCGGGCACTCGCAGCCCCAGTACGGGGCCTTCTGCGAGAAGTTCGGCAACGGCGAGCCTGGCATGGGGCGGATCCCGGACTGGACCCCGCAGGTCTACGCCCCCGAGGACGTGCAGGTAGCAGGGCCGCCCCCCAAGTTCCCGGGGCGCCCGCCCGCCCACCCTGGGTCCTCTGCCTGCGCAGTCCCAGGGTCCTGACCCCCCCCCCGCCCCCTCACATGCCCAGGGGTCCGACGTAGTGCGGGAGGAGCGATCCCCTGGCTGGCTGGACCCAGGTCCCCACTGGGGGGCGTGCAGAGAGAAGCCTGGAGGTGTGGGTGGCGCATGCAGAGTTGTGGATTTCGGGGCCATCCCTTCACAGGAAGGGGGGCGACCTCAGGCCTTGGGGGGGGTGCCGGTCCCTCCATCTTCTCCCTAATTCAAGGGCTGGCACCGGTCCCCTGATCTCTGTTCTGACTTGGACGCTCCATCCACCTGTCCCCAGGTGCCTTACTTCGTCCCGGACACCCCAGCAGCCCGGGCTGACCTGGCCGCGCAGTACACCACCATCGGCCGGATGGACCAAGGTGAGTCGGGGAGCCGTGCGGTGGGGGAGCCGGGCGGTGGGGGAGCGGGCAGTGGGGGAGTGGGCGGGGCCTGTGCCCTGGGGCCGGGACCTCCCTCGCTTCTCCCAGGCTCTGGGCCGCCCCGCTGCAGTCTCTCAGTCATGTGGCCATCTCTTGTCCACTCGTCCCTGGGATCAGGGCCCCTGTGTGCTCGGGGACGGCCTCCTCTCAGGAGCAAGGATAATGACATCTGAAAAAGCTCTCTTTTGACACAAGGTTGTGTCCACAGATTCTGGGTGGACATACGTTTGGGGGGACCACCTTCCCCCCCGCTGCAGGGTGCCAGTGCCTCTGTCACCTCCCTGCCAGTGCTGCCCGTTCACAGTGACCTGGGGAGGGCTGGGTGTGGAGGGTCCCCGGCCTGAGGCTGTCCCCGAGAGCTCTGTTGACGGGAGAGACCTGGTTCTTCTTGCGGATGCCCGTGAAGAGTCACAGATCGGCACACTGATCAGCGTGCAGTCGGTTTATGAGTGGTTTATGAGTGGTTTATTCCCGCGGAAGGGAGCGGGCCTGGCTGGAGTGGGGGCGGGGCGGGGCGGCTGAAAGCCAGAGTGGCAAGACCCCGCGTGGCTTGCAGCCGGGCAGCCAGGAGGGACAGCCCTTTGTTCTGAGGACTTACGTAGTTGGGGGGGTGGAAGAGAAAACGTTACATGCTGATTGACAGGTCAAGGGGGTGCCAGCTTCCATGGGGGGTGTGCCCACCCAAACGCAGGTGTGTGCGTGGGGGTCTGTTAGCCCGAACCCTGGTCTCGCTCCGACTCCGTGTGTTCATCTCGTTGTGACACGGGTGCGTGACGGGGGACAGTCAGTTCACGTCGGGGCAGTGGCCCAGTTACGCGTGCCACGCTCTTCTCTGGGCGCCGCGGCCCCTCCCCCGCACGCATGCCGGGCCTTGGGGCGCGAGCCGTCCCCAGGCCGTCTCTCCCGGAGAGCGGAGACCCTGCGTAGCATCCCGAGGACCCCTCCTCCCGTACTAGTGCCGCGTGTCTTGTGACGCTGCAACACCCGGCCGTGCGACCCGACCGGACTGGGGGCTGCTGAGTCACCGGCGAGACGTGCCTGTCTCCTGCTGGCTGCCTGGGCCCCTGTTCCTTCTACCTGGGTGCGGGAAGGCGTTGCCTGGCAACCAGGACGGCAGCCGCAGCACAGTCTCCTTTGAGTTCTTCCTGTGCGGTCTCCTGCCTCGGGGCCACGGGGCGGGCGCGAGAGTGCAGGGAACACGGAGGCCGGCAGGTGGCGCTAGCAGCTGTGTGGGGTGACGCGGAGGTGCCGAGGGACGGCTGGCGTTCCCCCCCTGCCGGAGGGGAGGGCTGAGATGGGGGCCCGGGGCGGAGGGTCTGAGGGCGACGGTGCGGGCTCCCGCGGCCTGCGCCCCCCTGCCCTTGAGGCTGAGCTCGGGCCCCTCCGCCCTCAGGGATCGGACTGGTGCTCCAGGAGCTGCGGGGCGCCGGCGTCCTGAACGACACGCTGGTGATCTTCACGTCCGACAACGGGATCCCCTTTCCCAGCGGCAGGACCAACCTGTACTGGCCGGGCTCTGCGGAGCCCTTGCTGGTGTCGTCCCCGGAGCACCCCAAGCGCTGGGGCCAGGTCAGCGAGGCCTACGTGAGCCTCCTAGGTAGGGCTCGGCTTCGCCGGGGCGGGCGGTGTGGGGGGCGTTCAGGCTGCGCCGCACCCACTGCCTCCCGGGGCTCCCACACTACCGGGGTGAGGAGGGGTCCCTGTCCCACATAATGAGGCAAACGTGAGGCCCAGAGAGGCTCAGTAAGTTGCCCGAGGTCACACAGCATGTAAGCGCCCAGCTGGGACCCTAACCCCCTTGTTACTCTCAGAATTCCCTAACCCCAGAGGTGCCTGGCTCAGCAGGGCTGGGGCGGAGGCTGAGAACGTGCATTTCTGCCACGTTCCAGTGATGCTGGGACGCCGCGGCCACAGCACTCAGCAGGAGCAGATGAGCCCCGTGGGGAGGGTCTTACCGGTCCTAAGGGTTCAGAGGGCCCCCAGCAGCACCGTGAGAGGCTTGGTGGCCCAGAGGGACAGGCGGGGTTGGGCCCTCGGGAGCCCCTCCCTGTTGGTGACGCGACCTGCGAGGCGGCCCACCAGGCTGGCTCGGACTCGGGCCGCCCAGGGCGTGGACCTCGCGCCCGCGTGGCCGCCTGCTGACACCACCCCCTTTGCAGACCTCACGCCCACCGTCCTGGACTGGTTCTCCGTCCCCTACCCCCGCTACGCCCTCTTTGGCTCGAAGACCGTCCGGCTCACCGGCCGGTCCCTCCTGCCGGCGCTGGAGGCCGAGCCGCCCTGGACCACCGTCTTCAGCAGCCAGAGCCTCCACGAGGTCACCATGGCCTACCCCATGCGCTCTGTGCAGCACGGTGGCCTCCGCCTGGTGCACAACCTGCACTTCCGGATGCCCTTCCCCATCGACCAGGACCTCTACGTCTCGCCCACCTTCCAGGACCTGCTCAACCGCACCGCGGCCGGCCGGCCCACCGGCTGGTACAAGGACCTCCACCGCTACTACTACCGGGAGCGCTGGGAGCTCTATGACCGCGGCCGGGACCCGCGGGAGACCCAGAACCTGGCCGCCGACCCGCGCTATGCCCAGGTGCTGGAGCTGCTGCGCAGCCAGCTGGCCAAGTGGCAGTGGGAGACGCACGACCCCTGGGTGTGCGCCCCGGGCGGGGTGCTGGAGGAGAAGCTCGTGCCCCAGTGCCGGCCGCTGCACAATGGGCTGTGAGGCTGGGCGCCGGCGCCCCCCGCCCCCAGACCCGTCCTCGCGCCCCTGCCGGGCCGGAGAGCGGCCAGCCTCGGGCGCTGGGCCCACGGCCTGCCCCACACTGTCGGAGGGGCGCTGGCCTCGTTCCCGCCCCTGGCTGCGGGGGCGTGGAGCGTGTGCGCCCCGGCCCCCCACCTGAGGTGAGGGGCGTCGCTGTCACTGTCCTTTGTGTCTGGGCCGTGTGCCCGCACAGGAATTCGGGGAGGACCTGGGCCGGGAGTTCCCCAGCCCACACAGGTGACGGCGGTCTGGGCAAAGGGGCTTGTTTTCCGGGTCGGGACCCAGGACTCGAGACCCACCCTGTCCCACAGATCTCCCCGTGCCCTTCCTGCATGGGTGCCAGGCGGGTCCCCTCTGCACGGGGGCGCAGCACCTGGACTTCATCCACCCACCTCCGGTCTGGAAGCCTGGGGACGGCCCTCGGTCAGGCTCCCCGCCTCCAGGCCGGGTCCCACTAGGCCGCCCACTCCCGACGGGCTCCCGAGTGACGGCTTTGATCCTTCCGTCCTGCGGTCTCTGTCCTTCTAAGTGTCCGAGGACACGCCCGTCCTTGGGCTGGCTCCTCCTGTGTGGGGCACACCGGGTCTGGCCCAGACACAGCTCCTGGGGGTCTCCAGACCCGCTCTGCCGCCGCCCACCCACCAAGGGGCAGCAGCTCTGCCCGGGAAATCGCTTCCTCCCCCGTGGGGGCTCTTGTGGCCCTTCCCACCCCGTTGGCTGCCCCCTGGGGGTGCGGGGAGAGAGCCACGGGCCATGACACTCATTTTAGTAAAATATACCGGAAAAGCTCATTTTAGTAAAAGCTCATTTTAGTAAAATATACCAAAGTCCATTCCTGAACTTGTCCATGCTGACTGGGGTTCAAAAGCAACTGCCTGGGGGCTCTCAGACCTGGGACACCACCGCTGTCCGTGATGAGGCACCCGGGGGCCTTGCCGGAGCCCCGTCTGTCTCCAGAGCCCTGGGGGCGGAGCCGGGGCAGGGGTGTGGGGTAGAGGGGGCAGTCCTGGGCCCCAGGAGGAGGACACCCCGCAGAGGGGTCCGTGGGGCCTTCTCCAGGGCCCCCACAGTCCCCGGGCTGGGCACGCCAGCCCGTGGGCACAAACCTGGTGTAAATACCATCTCCATCACCGGGAGACGGTACTGACGGGCGAACAGTCCCTGGACGAGAGTTACTGGGGCATCTCAGCCGCCTGGGGCCGAGGGAAGCTCGCTCCGGGCAGGGGCTCGGGGGCTGCCAGACCCCCCGGCCACACCGAAGTGCAAGAGGGAAGGGCAGTGGCCGGCCAGAGGCCAGCTATCGGGACAGAGCCCGGCCTCCGGCCGTGGGGAGGGGCTGGAGGACCCCCAGGGTGGGAACGTGCTCGGGTGGCCGGCCCAGACCCTGCGAGCCCAGGGTGGCGCAGAGGGGTGGTCAGCACGCCGGCTGTGACCTGCAGGTGGCGAGGTTCGTGGGGGACTCCAGGGAGGGAGCCGACGGGGGCCTGTCCCGTGAGCGCCTGAAGCCGGGCCTGCGAGGCCCCGAGGGCGGGATGAGGAGGTCCCTGCAGTCCCAGGAGGGGCTGGGGCCTCAGGGGGGGCCCTGCTCCGTCCACACGACCTTCTTCTGCTCGTCCGAGATGGCGAAGCGGACGCAGCCCAGCAGGGAGTCCAGGTCGCTCCAGCCGTCGGCGGCCAGGCTGCAGTGCAGGCCGGGTGCCCTGTCCAGCTCGCCCTCCTCCTCCCGGCCGGCCTCCAGGAGCTGCTCCTCCGAAGCGCCCAGCCGCTGCAGGGCCTTCCTGCGGGGCCGGGGACAGTGGGGCCAGCTCAGGGCGCGGCGCCCCGCTGCCCGGGGGACCCTCAGGAAGCCGTCCCCGCCCCGGCTCAGGACTCAAGGGGAGCAAACACCCCCCGGCGCAGGTGGCCGATTCCCAGGGGTCCTCAACGACACAGGGCCCCTGACGGTGTTGTGCAGACGGGCACCAGGGCCTCTGGTTCTAACCGCAGCTGTCAGATTGCCCGGGGGCCCCCAGGAAATCAGGGCTCGTCCCTGCCGTGAGCCCAGGCCCGGCTTTCCACGTGGCCCTCACCTGTCCCCTGTGTGCCCCCAGCGAAGGGGTGGCCTGGGCGGGTTGAGGCGGGGGTGAGGGTCAGTGCCCCCGGACACTTCCAGGAAACCCCGTCACAGCCCCTGAGGCACGAGGGCCCCCCGGAGCTCCGACCGGGGGCACCGCCCGCCGCCCGCCCCCAGGGGTGCGCCCACCTGAGTCTCTTCGCCGCCTTCTCGTTGACGCAGACGTGGACGACGATGGGGAAGATGTCCGCCCTGTGCAGGGCGCGCACGCTGTCCAGCCGGCCGTCCAGCAGGGCGTGGGCGTTCTGGGGGGAGTCGAGACCACACGTGGGGGGAGGGGACTGGGCAGGACAGCCTCGGCCCAGGAGGCGCGGGCGGGACATTCCCACATGCCCTGGGGCCTGCGGGGGTGCTGGCTGTCCCCCCCAAGGGTGCTGCGGTGAGTGAAGTACGTCCGATTGGGAAAACACAGACGCTAGTGAGGGAAGAACGCTCCTTTGTTTGGTGCTTTTACCCCAGACGTCTGGAAGGTGTGAGCGGGAGCTGAGGGCGCCTCCGCCTGGGCCCCGCCCCCAGGAGACGGGGGTGGGGACCAGCCTGGCTCTGACTCTGGCTGGCGGCTGGCCTGGCCGCTCCGTGTCCACGCCACAGCGAGCTTCTCTGCAGACACGGAGCTCGCGCGCTCACTTAGCAAACGCCCATGCAGCGTCCCCTGCGTTGGGGAGCGCGGCTCCGGGAAGCAGAGGGCACGGGGGGCCCTGGACGGCGAGGTTGGGGCTGGTCTCCCTGTGCTGCGGCCGCTGGACACGGAGCCCAAGCCAGCGGATGACCAGCCTGGGGTGTCCGGGGCCAGCAGGTCGGCGGCCCGCAGCCCTCAGGTGTCGCAGCCAGCACCCCCTCTGGAGGTGGAGCCCCCGGAGCCCCCCCACCGCACCTTCTCCATGAGGAGCTCCACGGCCAGGCGGGTCACGCAGTACCGGCCCCCGGGGGCCTCGCGCTCCTGGACAATGTCCCCTCTCTGGTCAGCGGCCTCGTACTCCTCCTGGCTCAGGTACTCTGGGGGTGACAGTGGTGGGGGTGACAGTGGTGGGCGTGTCCCACAGCCACAGCACAGGGTCGTGAGGGAGCCCGCGCCATGCACCCCTGCGCCGGGGCCCCGCCGGCTCTGGGGGAAGCTCCTCCCGGGGCGTCCTCTGCGTAGCCCGGCCCTGCTGTTCCCTTGCAGTCGAGGCTGTGCCCTGCACTGCACTGGGGACCTCAGACGGGGCGGGGCTCCCCCACTGCCGCGTGGGGGCGGGAGAGTGGGAAGCGGGGGGAGGGACAGATGTGGACGAACCACCCCCTCCAGCACGTCCCAAACCCCAAACTCACAAGCCCACCTCCTCCCACCCAGAAGCCCCCTAGGTCCCTGAACTCAGCGGTTCCCAGCCAGGGGCAGTTTCGCCCCAGCAGCACTGGTAACGTCTGGGGACGTTCGTGGCTGTCACAGCTGGGGCACAGGTGTGGGCTCTAGGCAACCAGCGGGTGGAGGCCAGGGGTGTCCGTCAGCACCCTGCACCGCTGAGGACAGCCCCGCCCAGCGTCAGCCTGGGGCGAGACGCCCGCCGCCCGCCAGAGCGCCGTGGGAGCCCCGCCACTGCGACCTGCTTCTGGAGCAGCGGCTGCCACAGCAGAACCGCGCCCCCAGGTCGCGGTGGCCTCAGCTGGGAGACAGCTCCTCCGCAGCCATCGACGGGTGACAGGTGACAGGTGAACAAAAATGCCGACCAGCATCTCCCTCCCGCACTACCCCCCTGCCCCCGCCCCGGGGGACACCCTCCTGCCTCGATCCGCAGCCTCTGTCCCCTGGGGTCCAGGGCCCACCCGCAGGCTGTCTGCAGGGCTCTGCAGACCAGCTTTGGCAGGTGGGTGGCGCCCCCTGGTGTCAGCGCCCAGTGCAGCACAGCCCGTCTGCCAGGACGGACTGCAGGGTGGGCCGAGGGGCCCCGAACGGGCCTCATCCCGAGACGGGGTCGGTTAAGACGAGGTCACTCGGGACTAAGGCGGCCCTCACCCAGGGACTGGCTCCTCACGTGAAGGTCGGAGAAGACAGAGACGCGGGGAGAAGGCGGGGTGACGAGGGGCGGGGACAGGAGGGGAGCAGCCGCCAGAAGACCCCCCACCCCAGAGCCTCCGGCGGGCGGGCGGCCCACGGAGCAGCCTGGGGCCGTGCTTCCGCCTCCGGACGGCAGGAGAACCCGTCTCGGCCGCCCGGAGCCCCGACGGGTGGCGACTTGCGGCAGTGGCCCCCGGACGCACACGGGGCTGCAGCTGCTCTCCCAGAAGCCCGCGCAGAGCCCGCCCAGGCCCCGCCCCCCGACCGGCAACGGGGCGGGGCCCCGCGAGCACGCACCTGCAGGGCACCTCCTGAACCCCGGCAGGAGGCAGAGCTTCCCGCTCAGGACCTTCCCCAGCAGCCTGGGCACGAAGAGCACGGGCCGCGGCCGGCCGGGCCGGTGGGGGCGCACCAGCGAGTAGGGGGCCAGCGTGAGGCTGCTCTCGGCCCAGAAGCTCCCGGGGGAGGGGTCTGCGGGGGGGGCGGGGGCAAGAGCCATCAGGGCCCCCAGCCGTCAGCCGCCCCACCCCCAGCGCGCCTGCTCTCCCGAAAGGCACAGCCTGCGGCCCCTCCCGGCACCCTCGCCCCGCAGCGCCAGCAGCCCCCCCACCAGCACCCTGGCCTCACCTCCCAGCCCGCCGGCGTCTGACTGGGCTGCATCAGAGGAGGAGCACGGGGGGCGGGCCTTGGTTCTGTCCACAGTGACGATGCGGACCAACTTCTGGGGTCCCCCCGAGGTCTGCCGGAGGAGGAGGGAGGGACCAGAAGTTGTCCCGCCCCCCCCCCCCACAGGGCTGGGGGCCTGGCGCCCGCCCCACTGGGGCGCCCGGGCGACCCCGGACCTGCAGGCCGAGGCCACTGAACGGCCGGGTCCCTCGCTGGGGCAGACGAAGGGGGGCAGGAGAGGGCGCCCAGCAGAGGCCCCCCACGGGGCCTGTGTGGGAGGGCAGCCCTACGAGGCAGGGTGGAAGTGTGGGGCCCCCCACCCTGCTGCGATGATGGGATGCCCAGTGCCCTGCTCAGGGCAGCTGAGTGTCCTGTGTTGGGAAAGCACCAGGTCCCCGACCTCGGAGGGAGTCAGGGGGGTGCAGAGGACAGAGAGCGGGGTGAACTGAGCACCCCAGGGAGAGAGCACCCGTGCATGTAGTTGCTCATGCTCAGGTAGTGTGCAGCTGAGTGGAGTGCGGCCCCGGCGAAGGTTTGCAGGCCCACACGGCAGGGGCCCACAGGGCGACCCCCCTGCATTCGGTGGATGGGGCACTCCCAGAAGGTGACGTGAGCCGGGGGAGGAGGGAGGCCGGGGGCGGGGGGAGGGTGTAGGCAGGGCCCACCCGAGCCCAGGATCGGGCCGGCCAGGTGGCGACCTCACCTTGCGCCTCACCTTGCGTGCGGCGGCGCTCTGCTGGGCCATGTCCTGGAGCAGGGCGAAGAGCAGCCGCTGGGCCCTGCACGGAAGACAGACCCCGCTGCTCGGAGGCCGAAACGCCGCCCCCCCCCGTGCCCCCCCACCCGGCTGCGACCCTCGGAAACCCCACAGCCCTGGGGGCACCGACATAGCTGGGGACACCTCTCAGGAGCCCAGCCTCGGGCCTTGCTGCGCCTGCCGAGCTGAGCGCCGGGGTGCGGGCTGGCCGGGCGGCTGGCAGGTGCTGCACCCGACACCATGCTCCGTGCCTGACGGCTGGCCTAGGGACATGGCTCTCGGCAGCGTGACGCAGCTTCCCGGGGGTCTGCTGCTGCCCCAGCGGCCCTGGGACCCAGGGCTCCCCAGGGTGTGGGGCTTCCTGCGCTAAAACCAGCCCAGCCCGGGACACACCAGCATGACTCAGCCCCCACCTCCTGGGGACACCGGCAACGTCTGAAGACATTTTGGGTTGTCACACCAAGGGGCCCAGGGAGGGGGGGCCTGGGACACTGCTGGACACCAGACGGTGCCCAGGACGCCTCCACAGGGGAGGGAGCCAGGCCCGCGTGCTGGCAGTGCTGAGGCTGAGGAAGTCTGGTCCCGAGGGCTCTAGGATGCTCTAGAACAGAGGCCCGCCCCTCTTCACAAACAAGACCACCCAAGCACTGAGCCCGGGGTCTGGCGTGCTGGGGACCCCACCCCCCGGGGGGCCTCCCACGCCCACCCGGCCACTCACCGCGTGTAGCTGGGGACGGCGCCTCGCTCGCCCGGCTGCGTGCTGTAGGGGCCCACGCGGCAGGCGTGCCAGCAGCCGCCGCCCCGGAACATGGTGTCGGTGACGTGCAGGACGTCGCCGCAGTGCGCCTGCAGCTCCCCCTCCGCCCGCCCCTCCAAGGCCAGGTTGAGCCGGATGTAGAAGGAGTCCCCTGAGGTAGCCGCTTTGGCCTCCAGGTCCTGCACCAGCTTCCTGTAGCCTGACCGCAGAGGACAGGAGGACGGGTCAGCCTGGGCAGCAACCCGCCTGAGGAAGGCTCCAGAACGGGAGAGGAGGAGGCAGAGAAGGTGCCGCCCCCCGTCCCAGGAGCCGCTGGGGGCAGGGTCGGCGGGCGGCGGGCCCTGCTGGCCGGGACCTCCGCCAGCCTGGGGCGCGGGCTGGGGTGCGCCCGCCCAGGGTTCAGAGACGGGGCTGGGCAGCTGGGCACGGCTTCAGGGGCGAGCTCTCGGGGTGGGTGGGGGGGTGTGTACCCTCCGTGTTGACCTTCACGGACAGGCAGCAGAAGCCGTCCACCCGCCGCAGGAGTCCCACGGCCTGCTCCAGCGTCGTGCCCTCCAGCACGGCCTTGAAGGAGGGCTCCCTCGCCTCGTAGTCCACCTGGGGGCACGGCACCCGGTCGGTCGGCCCCGGTCCGGGTGCAGACGCGTGCCCCCGCAGGCCCCACCCACCCTCCCTCCCAGCCACCGCGCGCACCCGCCGCCAGCGCCTCTGTCGCAACCCGGACCAGGCGTCACGGTTCGGCTCCTCTGAGCCACACTCCCCAGCCCCCCCAGGAGTCCACCGCCAACCCTTCCCAACGCCCGCACGCCAGGGTCATCGCCGAGGACCGAGCGTCTGGTCTCCGAAAGGGGCCTGTGTCCTAGAGCGTTCTAGAGCGTTCCAGAGCATCCTAGGTCGGGGGGCTCTCGGCTTTGGGACTGTGGGCCCCTGGAGCAGGGCACTCGGGGCCGGGGCCACCCCCGCCCGGAGCGAAGGCCCTGGACAGGCCCTGCCGTGGGGGGCTCGGGCTGCGCGCTGACACTGAGACCCCGAGAGCACCGCCAGGCACAGAATGGGGGGTTAGCGAACACCGCACGGTAACGAGTTTTAGAAGATGCCCCCGACGGCTGAAACGGCGTGCTGCGTGTCGCGAGCGACCCCACACGCCGACGCGCACGCCCACGCCCCGCCCCGGCGCAGGCCCCGCCCCGGCGCAGGCCCCGCCCCGGCGCACGCCCCGCCTCACCATCACGATCTGGGTGCCCGGGCGCAGGGCCATCTCGTCGGCCGCCGAGCCCGGGGTGACCCGGTGGATGAAGATGCCGGTGCGGTTCCCGCCGACGACGCCGATCTGCTCCAGCAGCGCATCCCCCTGGAAGGCCACCACCGTGACCTGGCTCGGGACCTTCCGGGCCGGCCTGCGCCGCACGGGGGCACTGGGGCGGGGAGGGGCGACGGGCTCACGCACAGCCCTGCGCGGGACCTGGGGGGCGGCCAGCACCTCTCCCCACTGCCCCCCTCCCGCCACGCCCCCACCCTGGGAAAGGCTGCCGCCCGCCCACAGCCTGCGCTCTGCCACCTGCCGGCCCCGCCCCGCCCTCCACTCACCTGGCCGAGACGCAGAGGCTCCCGGAGGTGGGCTGCGGGCAGCTCTCCGGCTCCAGAAGGTCTAGGCAGAGGCAGAGGCTCAGACGCCGGCGGGACTGGCCCTCGAGGTCCCCCGTGCTGGCTCTGCTCCCTCGGCCCCTTCGCGGAGGCCGACCCTCCATGTCCTTGGTTCACCGACCCCGGAGGAGGAGGAGGAGGGGCTGCTGGAGGGCCAGGGCCACGCCTGCCGGGGCCTGACCTGCACCGGGTCCCTCGTGGCGCGTGCGGGCTGCCCGCACCTCCTCAAAGGCAGGGGGTCTAGAATCGGGACCTCCAGCTTCACCCGAACAAGCCCGCCGGGCGGAACCCTGGCCGCGTGCCTGCACTGACCAAGTGCACAGTGGTGACCGCTGCTGGCCACTGGCTGCCTCCTGCCCACCCCAGGCCACCGCCACGGTTGGGCCAGACCCCAGCTGGCCGGGGAGCCCTCGGAGCTGGCAGTGCTGGGACTCGAGGCCCCCTGGGGGCCCCCAGCTCTGCATTTTCACATGCAGCCTGTGCAGCAGACGGGCCAGACGGCAGTTCCTGGGGGCCACTGAGGCCGCTCCCCTCGCTCGGGGGGCCACCTGCCCGCCCAGAGCACCCGAGCCTGCAGACAGTGGACAGACAGACGCCTGTCCTTGCCACCGGCGGCCTCTGCCCAGCTCACGGGCAGAGACCCCCCTCACCGAGTGCAAGCCAAGGGGAGCCGACCAGACGCCCCGGTGTGCGGGCGCCAACCCCGCTGCCAGGAGTGAGGGGGGCTCGATGGGGGCTCACCGCGGCAGAGCGCGGTGACCGCCCCCGCTCTGGACCCAGGCCAGATCCCCTGGGCACATCCCCTTGGTTCATCACAGTTGCTCACAAATGAAACCCCTAACGAGCTGGGAGGGTACGGTCATGTGACCCACGGCCCCACCACTCGGGTGCAGCTGGGTGGGCCAGCACGGGGAGCGTGCGCCCCCTGGTGGCCGTGGGGTGAGTTCCAGAGATGGTGCTGAGCACCTACTGTGTGCAAGGCCCAGGCCGGGGCAGAGGTGCGGGGCCGGACAGGTAAGGAGGCTGTCCGCGAGGGGCCCGGTGCTTGAGAAGGAGAGGGACACTCAGGTCACAGACAGGAGAAGCGGGAAGGTCTCGGGGGCCCACACGCAGGAGGGGGGGCTCCTGCAGGGGCCTCGGCCAGGGGCGAGGGGACCGCAGCCTCCTGCCACCTGCTGCCCCGGGCGGCCCGCAGCCCACGGCCCAGGGCAGGGACGGGGCAGGGAGAGCAGTGGTCTCAGCTGGACGTGCAGAGGGATCCACTCCCTCGGCCCCCGGCTGGCAACAGAGAGGACGCCCTGTACGCATGCCGCCGGGCCCCGGTCAGGGTGGTGGTCAAGTTCGCTTCTCTCTGCCCAGCCCCTGGAGAGAGACCTGGCCGCCTCACCTGCCTCCCTGGAGATCCAGGTTCAGGCCAGGGCAGGGGGCTGCAGGGACCGGCAGAGGGAGCACTCACCTGCTCTGTCCACGATCTCGTAATCCAGGTCCGCATCGCCCGCTGCCGGGCCCGGGGAGGCCCCCCGGTCCGCCTCCAGGGGCTCCGGGAAGCCGCTGCAGAGGGAGACCGCTCAGGCTGCACAGCCGGCCCCCGGTCAGCGGACCCCGAGCCCCCGGCACCCGCCGGGCCCTTCGCCCAGCGAGCGGCCGGGGGGCTGCACCCTCCGACCCGGACGCTGGCCCCCCTGTACCTGAAGGACCAGGGCTCGTCCTCGTCCCGCAGGTCCTCTGCCGCCCGCTTATACAGGGACAGCTGGCTGGGAGGCACGGGGCTGCTGGAGCGGAAGCTGTCCACCAGCTCGCGGCTGGACGAGGCGCTCAGGTCGGACCAGAGCTGGGACTGGCGGCGAGAGGTGGGGTCAGCGCGGAGCCCGCATGGGACCCCCACCCCTCCCCGCTGGGCCCCTAACGTCAGGGCCAGGGGGTGAGAGGGAGAGCAGGGCGGGGCGCACAGCCAGGGCGCGTTAGTCGAGCACCTACTACATGCCGGCACCCTGCTGGCTGCTCCCTGCACTTTCTACCGCGTGGTTCTCACGGGACAGCCGTGAGGTGGCCGCAGCGTCCCACCTGGCCCACAGGGCGGTGGGGGCCCCGGGAGGCCGGGTGCCTGGCTAGTGAGGGTCACGTGCGGGCAGGCGAAGCGAGCAAGATGCCCAGTGGGGGCCGGAGGACGCCGGGCGCGCCGTGCAGGCCCGGACGCGGCCCCCAGCAGTGCGGGGCGCCGGCCATACCTCGGAGGAGCTGAGGCAGCTGCCGTCGCTGTCGTCCCGGGGGCAGACGGCAAACATGCGCACCAGCCGCTGCTTCCCCCGCCGGCCGGGCTCCCGCGGCCCCGCTTCCCGCTTGGGCTGTGGACAGGCCGGCGGGCTGGTCAGTCCGGAGGTTGGGGGGCGCTCCCCTCAGGCGCGCTCGTCGCTCCCCCTCGGTCACTGCCCCTCCCCCTCCTCCCCTCGACCTCCAGGCACAGCGATCTGTCCCCTCCGCCCAGCCTGGGACCGGCTGACCGCCCGGGGTCAGTGCACAGCAGTAGGCTGGGCACTGAGTGGTCGCTCGGGGAGGGCCCGCCACCGCCCTTGGAGGCGTGCTCCTCTCCCGGTCACACGAACGGTGTGGAACGTGTGCACAACATGTCTCTACACGCTGCACACAGCACCTCGGGGCCCCCCCCCAGTGATCAGATGCAGCAGCCTGGGGTCTGGACGTCTGTGGCCCCTGCTCCATGCATGTGTGCGTGCGTGTGTGTGTGTGTCATGACTGACAGGGGCTGGGGGTGCAGGAGGAAGGGCGGGGGCCTCCCTGTGCATGCAGGGAAGGGAGGGTCGGGCTCCGCCCCCCACCCAGGCCCCCAGCCGCCTCTCAGGAGTCGCACCCGCCCACCAGGGCGCCCGGAGCTGGAGCTGCCGGCTGGGTCGCAAGTACAGACTTCACAGCAGTTGAAACTCCATTCTGTCCCCTGCTTCCTTTCCTCGCCCCCACCCCACGCTTTAGGGGTTCCAGAACCTTCTGCTAGGCTGCGCTCCCACGGCATGAATGACATCACCGTGGCAGGGGAGCAGGAGCAGCCCCGGCCGCCCACTGGCGCATCTTCAGCGTCTGACGGTGCGGCCCCCTCAGGGGGCCCAGCAGGCAGCGGCCAGAGGCACACCTGGTGCCCCAGCTCTGCGGGGCGTGCGTGATCGGCCGGCCCCACCCCGCGCACACGCGGCCGGGGGTCTGCCGCCCCGGCCCTGCTCCCAGCGCCCGCCGGGCCGGGAAGTGCTCACCGCTGGCGAGGACTCGGCCTGCAGCCGGCGCAGGTGCTGGCGCAGGTCGCAGACCTGGTCCGTCAGCTCGAAGGCTTTCCTGCGGAGGGCGTCCTTCTCCGCCAGGTTCCGAGAGATCTCCACCTGGGCCGCGTCCCGGGCCGAGTAGGCCTGCGGGCCAGGACAGGGGGCGCCCGGGGCGTGAAGGGCCGTGGGGTGCCGCGCGGGAGCCCCAGCCGGGGCAGGCCCCCGGCCTGTCGTCTGCGTCCCCTGTGCCGCAAGCACCGGGCGGGCCCGACGACGGGCACACGCCCCTGGTTCACCACGGGGTCGCCAACCGCCCTTCACACCCCCGTCTGCGGGCGCACAGAGAACGGAAGGAGGCGCGGGCCGTGTGGCCTCCTGTCTGGGGCCGTGAGCACATCAGCCGGGGACGAGCGTGGGCGCTGCGAGACCCCCGAATCCGGTGGAAGCAGCGCCCAGAGGGCGGGGCCGGCCGCCCGTAGCCCCTGCTCTCTGGGGTCCCGCCCCCCGGGTACCTGGTCCCGCTCCTTCTGCAGCTCCGCCAGCTGGCTCTGCAGGGCGGTCATCTTCTCCCTGTAGATCTCGCAGTCCACCTTGCTTTTCTGGAACTGCAGCAGGGTCTGCTCCTTCTCCTCCCAGTACTGGGCGGGCGGGGGGCAGCGGGGGCGGGGGGAGACAGACACGGCTGGGAGGACGGGCGGGACAGGGGCCTCGGGGGCAGCGTGGGGGCTCCAGGGGGAAACGGGGGGCAGGGATTCACGCTCGCCCCCTCCACGTTGGCGGCCAGGAGCCCCGCAGAGCAGCTGGGCTGCTCACATCACATGGGAGCCGGGCCACCGCAGCCCGCGTGGGGGTGATGCATGCAGTCTCTCTGTCCCCTCCGTGCCCGGGGCGCACACACAGCCCCCTCCGCCCGCCCCGCTCTTGTCTGCCGGCTCCGTCCTCGCCGCCGTGCACCCCTCACTGTTCGCTGCAGCTCAGCCGGCCCCTGGCACCACCCGGGCTGCGGCTGCGCTCACTTGAGGGGCCCTGCTCTCGCTGCCCCGCCCACGGGCCTGGCCTCTGGTTTCAGGCTCCGAGCAGGTGCCCACCCGGCTTGGACGCAGGAGCCCACGGACGGAGGACACCGTGGTAGTGAGGCCAATTCGGCTCGCGCTCAGCACGGGCTACGCAATCTGGCGTCCCCGGCACCCGGCCCTGCCCCAAACCCTCGAAGCCGGAGACAGTCACCTGCTTCCGCTGCCTCTCGGCGGCCGCCGCCCGCTGCCTCAGGGAGTGGATGCGGTCCACCAGCTCCTGCTTGCTCTCCAGGGCCTCGTCCAGGCTCTGCTCCAGGATGTCCTTCTCCGCCTGGCGTGGGGAGAGCTCAGCCGGGCCCCACCCCGCCCCTGCCCGCAGGCCTGCCCCCGGGGAAGCACCCCTGGCCACTCGGCCCACGACTACGGAGCTGGAGGCCCGGTGGGGGGCGGGGGTGGCGACACAACCGTCCATCCAGGAGGCACGCCTGCACCTGGGCTCTACCAGGCACGGCTGGCGGAGAAGGCGGAAAGTGCTGGAAGCTGAGGCCTCTTAGGAGAGAGCCTCAGGTGCTTGCAGCCGACCCCCGGAGAGAGGGAGACACCCGCGGAGGGACGCCGGCCGGCGGGGCTGCTTTGCGGGCGGGTCAGGTCGGCTCACGGACACGGGCAATGAGGGGAGTCAGGGTGGGCGTAACCCCAGGGTGCGGCGCCCCGGGTTCCCTCCGTGCCCTGACACTCCCTCTCCCCAACGCAGCGCATTCTGCGGGCAGGTGGGTTTCATTCCCTGTCCCCCCAATTCTCGGGTGAGCCCTGTTACTTGCAACCAGCCCAGTCCACTCCGGAACAGCCCGGCCGCTGCGGCGGAGCTGAGCGGGGTGTCCTGTTCACCCGCCAGCGTTCGGGGGAGCCACGGGACTGCGTCACTGGGGTTCCTGTCAGCCATGGGGGGGGGGCACCTGGCAGGAGGGCCCCAGGGAGGAGGGCGGCCCTGGGGTGGGGGGGGCCGGGACCCACCAGGCTGAAAGTCAGCGAGCGCAGCTTCTCGTTCTCCTGCTTCAGGCGGCTCAGCTCCTCGGCCCCCGGCTCCGGGCCGTCGGCCAGCCTCAGCGACCGCTCCCGGAACTCCCGCTCGCAGGAGGCGGACAGCCGCTCACGCTGCAGCTCCTGCTGCGCCAGGTACAGCTGCCGGGAGAGGGGCCGGCCGCGTGAGCACCGCACGCCCCGCGCAGGAGGGCAGAGCGCGTGCAGGTGGGCACGCGTGTGCATGTGTGCTCACACGCACATATACCAGTGTGCAAATGCACGTGTGTGTGTCCATGGGACTGTGCTACGCACACACATGCGTGCTCATCTCTGCTCGTGCGCGTGTGCATGCACTCCCGTGCGCACGTGCATGTGTGCACACCTGTCTGCACATGTGCCCGTGCACACGTGTGCTCATGTGTGTGCGCGCGAGCACACATGCATGTGTGTGTGTGTTCGTGCACGTGTGCCTGTGGGCAAGTGATAAACTAAGGTGTATGGGTGCCTTCTGTACTACTGCATTTGAATGCTTTTAAAGACAAACTTGAAATTCCTTCCAAAGTTAAAAGTTAAAGAAAAGACGATGGCGTAAAGGCAAGCAGCAGAACGACACGTTGGGAACACCCTCGACACTAAAAGAACCCCACCCAACAGCACGGTAACGTGCTGGCCGAGAAATGAGTAAAGAACACCGCTGGGTTCAAGGGGGCTCCCGTCCAGAGCCAGCTGAGGAGGACGGGAGGGAGGCCTGGGGGGCCCACTGTCCCCAGGGCACAGCGGCTGGACAGGGTGGGGCCTGGGGGGCCGCTCCTGCAGAGCCCAGAACAGCCAGACCCACCCCACAGAGGCGGGAGGAGGGGTCACAGGGCCTGGGGCTGGGCTGGCGGGGCAGGAGGACGTCCCCGGGAGGGAGGAGGGCGTCCTGAGGGGCGGGGGGGTGGGGGGGGCGGGGAGCAGCACCTCCTCCTGCAGGCCGCGGCAGCGCGTGGCGGCCAGCTCCTTCTCCTGCAGCGCGCTGCTGTAGTGCAGCGACAGGCTGAGCATCTCGTCCTTCAGCTTCAGCACCTCGTGGAAGTGGGCGCTGACCTCCCGCTTCATGCGCCCGTGGTCCGCCTCCAGCTGCCGCAGGCCCTCGGCGCGGGCCTCGGCCTCGCGCAGCCGCTCCTGCAGACGCCGGCACTGCTGCGCCAGCGCCTGCCTCTGCCCCTTCTCCTGGCTCAGCTCCTCCTGCAGGCTGCCGATGGCCCCGGCCAGGCACGCGGTCAGCTTGGACGTCTCCATGAGCCCTGCGGGGGTGGGGGGGGGCGGGGGGCCCGGGCGTCAGCACCGCAGCCCCCACCTGGTGGTCCTCCAGGGCTTTGCCTCCTGCGCCCAGACCCTCAGCGGGCCCCACCCCGGCCTGTCCGTCTCCTGAGAGGCTTCCTGGCTGAACCGCACTCGACCTCTGGTCACTGGACACTGCGTGACTCCAGCCTCCGGCACCAGGCCGCCCCGAGCCGCCCCGCCGCTCAGGCCCGGCCGGCCCGACCTCGTCCTCGGACACACCGAGGGGCGGAGTCTGCACACGCGGCTGTGAGGCCAGGCAGGCGGGGGCTTCCCCGGCCGGCCTCGGGACGCCCTGGTCTTCCCCCAGCTCCTCCCGGGAAGCCTGAAACCACTCCCTTGACAGGGTGGTCCCTCCTGCCCCAAAGCCAGGCCTGCACACGCCCAGAGAGGGCTGCAGTCTGCACTGCGCCTGCCGCCCACAGCCCCATGGGCCCCCTCTGTGTGGGCGGGCCTCCCCAGAGCCAGGCTGGGACCCTGGGGCCGGGCTGCCCTCCGCCCCGAGCACCGGGTGCCCCAGGAAAGGACCCTTCCTGGTGAGGGGGCGCATCTTGGTGCCGCCTAATCAGGGGCAGACTTTCCCTTTCAGAGCCTGAGGCCCCCACGACAGTTAGCTGGGGGCTGCCCTCACCCCAGAGCTGGACGGGGCGCAGGGACGGGACCTCTGCCTGCAAGTGGCTGGAAAGGCGTGGGGAACAGCACGCCAGCGAGGCGGGTCCCCAGAGGCCCCGAGGAGCCCCCACCAGCCCCCCACCCCGGAGCTGCGCCGCCCGCTCACCGCTGAAGCTGCTGCCGTCCATGTCCGGCTGCAGCCCGGTGACCAGCGTGTAGACGTCGGGGTTGTGGAACTTGAGGCTCTCCAGGAAGGCGACGGCCCCGTTCTTCCCGCGCGTCCTCAGCAGGTCCAGCAGGTGTCCTTGGGGGACAGGGCGGTCTCGGCTGACGGGGGGCTTCGTGCACCTGGGAACCAGGGTTGCCCACGTTCCCCCACGCTCCCCCGGGCTCCCCGGGTTCCCGCGGTGGCAGTCGGTCTCAAGAAAGCCGAGGCTGACCTTCCCCGAGCAACCACGGGGGCCGAGCGCCGAGGGCCGGAAACAAGGAACTGAGGGAGGTGACGGGTGCTCTCGGGCCTGCCCGTGTGTGCCGCACTTGGGGGAAGGAAGCCCACGGCAGCGCCCCAGGGCCGGGCCGCCCAGGCCCCAGCTCTCAACGGGGCGCAGGAGCTAGGATGCACTTCTCCTGGGCTGGGGATCCTCAGGCAGTAGACAGACAGGGCGCCACGTCGGGAGCTGCCGCCCCCTGGTGGCCGTCTGCGGCCTGGGCTCCGGGACAGCACGGCAGACACTGGTCCATTCCCGACCACCGACAGGGCGAAGCCTCGCGTGCACACCCCTGTGTGTGGGCGAACAGACTGGGCCTGCCAGCCTGCCCCGTGGGCTCCAGGGACATGTGGAACGGGGTGAAGGTGGTCCCCAGGGCACGTCCCCCTGGCACCTGCCAATAGGACCTCATTCGGGAACAGGGTCTCTGTGGGTGTATTTAAGGGACAGACCCTGAGGTGAGAGTGTCCTGGTGATCTGGGCGGGCCCTGAGCCTGTGACAGGTGTCCTCTTGACAGACAGGAGGGGAGACAGCCTCAGAGAGGGCCATGTGGGGCGGGGTGCAGGCCGCAGCGGTGGGCCCACACGCCAAGGACCGCCCGGGCCCCCAACACTGGGAGAGGCCGGAGGGACCCCCCACTGGCGCCCTCAGAGGGGTGCGGCCCCGCCGGCACCCGGAGCTCAGGCGGTAGCCCCGAACTGCGTGTGAACCCTTTCTGCCGTCCGAGGCCACCCACTGGACGGGTCCCCGCACCCGGAACGCGGCCCCTCAGGGCCCCCCCGCCCCCCCGCCCGCCGGGCGCAGCCTCACCAGCCCTCATGGCGCTGTTGGTGAGCCGGGGGCTGTGCAGCACCTCCTCCTCGTCCAGCTGCCCCAGCACCTTGGCCTGCCGCAGGTAGGGCGTGAGGCGGCTGGGGCAGATGCTGCTCACGATCCGGCAGCGGTGGCTCTCCGTCATGTCCCACAGCGTCTCCTCGTCCAGCGCCGTCAGCGAGGACTCGGTGCGGCGCAGCTCCGCCATGCCTGGGCCCGGGCAGAAGGGACGGTGAGCGCCCGGCGCCGAGGCTCCCAGGTCGGGGGGGGGGCGAGGGGGGCTTCCCTGGCAGGCCCCCTTCCCTTCGTCACAGGCGGGGAAGGAGATGACCGATTCGGAGAGGACGGGGACACCTGCCCTGGGCCCGGGGCCCTGGGACCAGCGGGAGGGGCGTCTGTCCAGGACCCGGGCAGAGAGGGACCTGGGTTTCCTCCGCTTTCGGGGGCCGGGTTTGCCTCCGGCACACAGGCTGCTGCCCCTGCCGGGGTGGGGGGGGGCTGGGGAGGCAGGCCCAGACCACGGTGTGTCATCAACAGGGGGATGGGACAGACGGCAGCTCCCCTGTGACAGCCACACCTGGGGGCAGGGCGGGGAGGGGAAGGCGTCTGGGAAGGTGTCGTAGAGCTGGGGGTGGGGGGACCCGTGGGGGGCAGGGCTGGGGGTGGGGGTGCTCGAGTGGCAGGCTGCCGCTCGTGCCTGGCATGGTGGGCACTCGCACGGGGACACCTGAGGGACATGTGGGGGGGGGGCGGGGGGACACTGTAACATAACAGCACATCCTAGCTCGAAACAAAACTGAGTCAACTGGCCCTGGCTGGTGTGGCTCAGTGGATTGAGCACTGGCCTGTGAACCAAAGGGTGGCTGGTTGGATTCCCAGTCAGGGCACGTGCCTGGGTTGCAGGCCAGGTCCCCAGTTGGGGGCGTGTGAGAGGCAACCACACATTGATGTTTCTCTCACTTTCTCTTTCCCTCTCTAAAAATAAATAAATAAATAAAAATTTTAGAAAAAACCCAGCCAACTCGGGGTGAGAGGGAAAGGCCACACCCCCTTGGCCAGCGTAGGACGGCCGGGCGGCCTCCGAGGGCCGAGCTGCGCGGGTCCGGGACAGACCCAGGGGCCCCCCGAGCTCCAGGTCTGTGTGGGCGAGGCCCCCGCAGCGGCTGGGTCACAGCCCGGAGCGTCCGCAGCCCCAAGTCTTGGGGGACACGACTGGCTCCCTCCCCAGGGCTCCTCCCCGCCTCCCTCCCTCCCGCCTCTGCAGCCGCTGCTCCCCCCTCCCCTCTCCAGCACCCCCTCCCACCGCCCCACCCCCACCGCCTGGCCCCAGCTCGAGGTCGTGAGCCTGTGGACGCGTCTACACCCCTCCAGAGTGCCTCTGAACCGCGGGCTGCCTGGAGCACGTAAAAAAGCCTGCCCGCGGCAGGACGGACATCCGCGGGCCCCCACGCAACCCGCCCCGACAGCTGGGACTTCAGATCCCTTCGCGAGGCGAGGAGACCACCCTCAGACAGAGCTCAGTCCGCCCCGCCCCCCGCCCCGCCCCCTCGGCCCGACCGCACGCTGCACCGGGCAGGGTTCCGGTGACGTCACTCACTGCTCACTCTCACTACTCAGAGACAGGGTCACCTGGACGGGGCACCGCCCGCCACGGGTGTCATCATCGGACGGTTAGTGCAGGGAGACACGTGGCCACGCCCACCTTTGCCCGAGTCACGGATGCGCGCACACGCGCGGCGCAGGAGCTCTCTCCCTGGCCGCGGGCTGGGCGTGGCCGTGTGCTCCTCCTCCCGGCACGCTGGGTGCTGCCCCGACGCCCTGTGCACGGTCGGGACGCGTCTCTCCGCCCGCCCGAGAGTGCCTGTGACTCGGTTCTCGTCACTTGGGGTGACAGGCTGCCCTGGCCGGCGCCCGGTGCCTGTTGGAGAGGCGTGGACCCCAGACGTGCTCAGGAACCAGCCCGGGCCGCCCCCCCAGCCGCCCCGCGCGCCCAGCTGCAGTGCACCCACCGCGAAATGCTCACGTCCGTCTGCGCCGGGACTGCTCGCCGTGGAAGGGCACCCAGAGTCCCCTCCCCTGGGCCGGGTGGCCAGGCGTGGCTGCGGCCTCCTCCTCGGGGTTCCGGCGGCAGGACAGGGCCGGGCAGGAGGAGCCTGCCAAACCGGTGCCGAGGCGACCGGACGGCTATTTCCCGCCGCGTGACCTGCTCCAAAACTCCAGGTTCAGGACCCGAAGGCTAGTGCCAGGCGGGGAAAGACAAACTCAGACCCAGGAAACACGGGGGACAGGCCTCCCACCCTCGCGGTTTGTTCAGCAAACAGAGGCGCTTGCTTGGCCCGGGCAGCAGGGCTCTCGAAGGAAGCCGGGCTTTGAAGCCCCAGATACCCAGGACCGTCGGCAGGTGCCGCGGTCACCAGTGTGCTGTGGCCCCGGGCCCCTGCCCGCAGGCCCAGGCCCCATGGATACCCCCTCCCCACACACACACTCCCCGTCCTCGCCACAGGGAGGGTCCGGGTGCGGAGAGCGGGGGCGCGGACCCTCCAGCAGGCCTGTCTTGCCGCCCCTCGCGGCCCGTTCCTGGTTTCTTCAGGGGACAGAGCTGGGGGCTTGTGAGCCGGGGTGTTGTGGGTGGAGTGTTGTCCCCCCAAAAGATGTACTGGAGCCCGAATCCCCCGGCACCTCGGGGCGTGACCTCACTTGGAGACAAGGCCATCGTAAGTGTGACCCAGTTAAGAGGGGCTCATTGGGGTGTGACAGCCGAGGCGGGCACTGGAGTGACGCCACGCCGCACGCTCAGGCCAGGCCAGGGCAGACCCCCCCCACCGGGGCCTCCCGATGGAGCTGTGCTCTGAAGACCAGACAGGCCCCGGCCGGGGGCTCGGGGCCAGAGGGTCCAGCCACGCACCACAGAGCAGAGGGTCTGGTCCCCGTCGGCGGGCGCACAGGAGGCAGCCGGTCGATGTTCCTCTCCTCCTCTTTCTCCCTCCCCTCTTCTCTCTCTAAAAGTAATTAAACGCAGTCTTTAAAAATAAACAAACAAACAAACAAAAAAACCCTGAAAGATCTCAGAGCCTCCGGCCGCCATCCCCGGCCCTGCCGCCTGGCCCCACCTGGGCAGGGCACGGAGGGGGAGGGTGGGGAGGCCATCCCTCCGTGGCTCGGCCGGCCCCACCCCCCCGAGGCCAGCACCCAGACGTCCGGGCCACCAGCCACCCCTGTCCCTCTCCTTCCTTTCAGCCCGGACCGGGCCGGCGGGCACCCCGACTGCCCCGCACCCCACGCTCCAGTCCTCCGCCCTGGAGGGCCCGGAAGCTGAGTGCCCCCTGCCGGGCACCCCCTCCCGTCCGCTGCTCCCCCGCTCCCGCCTCCCTGCTCCCCGGCTGCCCCTCCTGTGACCCCGGAAGGCCTCCCTCGAGAGCACGGGCCTCGGGGATCCCCCTGGCACCCCTCAGGGGACAGCCCTGATGACACACGTGTGAGCGCAGCTGCCGCCGCCACCCAGTCGAGCCCGACGCAGAGATCCCGGGTCAGACCCGGCGCGGGAGGTCAGGCCCAGTGGGGGCGGCGCCGAGCGCCCAGGCTCGCAGGCTCTCGCCCCCGCTGCCTCACACCGTGAGCGAATGTCGCTCAAAGAAGATGAGAAAGAGCCCCGGCTGGCGTGGCTCAGCGGACTGAGCGCCGGCCTGCGAACCAAAGGGTTTGATTCCCGGTCAGGGCACACGCCTGGGTTGCAGCTCAGGTCCCCAGTAGGGGGCGTGCCAGAGGCAACCACACATTGATGTTGTTCTCCCTCTTTCTCCCGTCTTTCCTCTCCCTAAAAATAAATAAACAAAATCTTTTTTTTTAAAGACTTTATTTATAGAGAGGGAGGGAAACATCAATGTGTAGTTGCCTCTCGTGCGCCCCCTACTGGGGACCTGGCCTGCAACCCAGGCCTGTGCCCTGACTGGGCATCGAACCAGCAACCCTTGTTTGGGGGCCGGTGCTCAGTCCACTGAGCCGCACCAGCCAGGGAAAAGAAATACAACCTTAGGGAAAAAAAAAAAGAAAAAAAGCAGAGGCCACAAACAAGGAAAGGTGGAAAGAACTTCCTGCCAAAAACTTTGGAAAGTGTCAGCTGAGCCCCAGAGCCAGTGGAGGGCGCAGGGCGCGGGCCCTGTGGCTGAGCGGGGGCGGGGCCCCAGCGTGCTCCCCACTGTGTGCTCCTCTGAAGGGGAAGAAACACTGGGGAAGTCTGGGGAGGTCAAAGACGGCACCCCAAGGTCCCCATACCGTCCACCACAGAACGTTCTCCGATCCGCGGGGCAGGGCGACCATCCTGGGCTGGGGGGTGTCCAGGAAGAGAGCTAGACCCCCGTGAGCGCGCCTCACTGCGTGGTGTGCCTCGGGCCTGGGTCCCTACAGACCTAGGACTTGGTGGGAGCCGCAGTCCTGAGATCCTGCGGGGAGACTCTCAGCCTTGACAAAGCAAACCGGAGCCAGCGTTAGCGGGCGGAGCCGTGGGCGGGACCTGCAGGGAGGCGGCCACCTCAGAGCTCAGGCCGGGGGTGGCCACCGCCTCAAACGAGGCGGTCGATTTTCTGTGAGGTCTCTAACTCAGCCACTCTCCACGGGCGTGCAGCAGGAATTTTATGAACATGCACCGGCCTGCCTTCCTTCAGACTGTCAGGCACAGAAGCGACAGCAGCCCCGGCCCGGTGGCTCGCTTGGCTGGAGTGTCACCCTGTGCACCAGGAGGCCGCGGGTTCGACCCCCGGCTGGGGCGTCCACAGGGTTCCACTGCTCACTTTCTCTCTCACGTCAATGTTCCTTCCCCCCCTCTCTCCTTTCGCCTCTAACATCAATAAACATATCCTCGGTGAGGATCAAAAAAAAGAAAAGAAGACAAAACAAAAGAATGGCGATGGCCACCCCAACAGTGGCCGGGCGGTGTGCACGGCCCGTCTTGGTCACGTGACACGGTCGGGTCTGGTTGGGTCATTCTTGGTACCAGAAATCCTCCTGTACAAGGACGGGCACCTGATTTTCAAAAACTCCCCTTGAAGCAAAAAGGGTAGGTCATTGCTACTATTATTATTTCTCGTAAATCAATCAGAATTACACCTATTTTTTGGTCAGATTGGCAAAACGGACGTGTTTTTTGGCATGCTGCAGAATTTCGGCTCCCGTGCGGTGAGAAGGAAAGGGACCATCACTGCGCCGACCCGTCACGGGGCTCGCTGCCCCTCACGCCCACCCCCCCCCTCCCGGGGGCGTCTGTAAGGGGCGGTCCGGCCGTCGGGGAACAGCTGCACGGCCCTCAGCCATCGCTTCCAAAACAACCTGAGATTTAAGTAAAGCCGTAAATTTTACTTCCCAGCCCTGCGGAACGTGGTCTCGCTGCTCTGAAACAGCGCCGGCGTGTCTGCCCCTCGGGACGTCCCTCGGTCTACACGCTCGCCCACCCCTCTGCCCCGTCCCTCCCGCCGCCCAGCCTGGTCGTGTGCACTCGTGTGCGCGGACCCGGGGGACAGAGAGAGACGGGAGGACGGAGCGGGAGGCCCGCACACACTCCGGAGCGCTGTTCGCCGGTGCCTGCACTTGTCACGTTCGTGCCGGCGCACCTCTGGGTCTGGGACACCTGACGCCTCCTTTTTGCTGTCGATGGACCTTTTAGAACGAGCAAGTGTGGGTTCCAAACCACCGAAAAGTCGGTGTTTCAGAAAACAGCACCATGCATTCGACCGGTCCGATGGAGAAGGAACTGGGACTGCGTGTCCTCCGGTCCCGCGCTGCCTGGGGCACGTCCGGCCCTGGCGTGCTCGCCCACAGTGACACAGTTTGGGGAACCACGTGTCGCGGAGGAGGCGGCGCGGGCGCCCAGGGGCCCAGCCCTCTGCTGCCCTTCCTTTGGCCCTGCGAGGAGGGCTGGCAGCGGCGGATTCGGGCGGGGGAATGTGGGAGCGGACCAGACAGCACGGCTGCTGCGTGGGGAGAGTTCTGGAGAAGCCGGGGGAGGGGCGGGAGGACTCGGCTGGCTCCGGCCCGGGTCAGAGGGCAAGGCAGCGGCTTCCCGCTCCCCGGACAGGGTTTAACCCTCCTCTTAATACAACAGAGTGGAGCGAGCGTCTTTGTAAAACCTTCTTTTCCCCCAAGCTTTCTCGCAAAGCACCCACTTTAATACCCTTGACCCTGACACGAGAGGTTGCAAAGCCTTTCCCCGGACTGGGGGGCCAATGGGCCTGGATGAGGTGGGGTCCAGGAGTCAGTGACCCCGAAACACGAGCTCACTGCGTACTCATTTCTGTCTTCAGCAAACCGCACTCCGGCCCCAGCACGCAGGTCCTGAGGGGCCTGGCGACCAGGGCCCGCTGGGCAGTGCAGGTCCTCGGCGCCTTCCCCGGGCCGGGCCGGGCCGGGCCAGGGTGGCAGCCGGCTCTGGGAGGGCCTTCGGGTCCGTCCCGCACCCCGCCCCACTAGCCTCCCACGCAGGGTCCGAGAGCACCCGGCGTTTCTCAGGCCTCCCCCGACCCGGCGAGCCCAGGGGGTCGGGGCTGGCTCAAGTGGGCAGCTGCCTCGCCCTGGGGCAGCTGGAGCCAGAGCTCTCTCCGGGACCCTCTGAGGCCCAACCCCCTACTGCCCTTGGCTCCGGGGCCCCCCGAAGCCGTACTGGGGTCCGGGCATAAGTGGCTGCAGCCAAGGAGTGGCCACGCTGGCCCGTTCTTCCCGCAGCGAAGCAGCTCCCAGTGACCCCAAATGGCAATAAAAACGGCAATGGGGATTCTTTGCACCTCAGCCCCAGGTTAAGCAGGGGTGAGTCCTGACCTAGCGGAGACCCCCAAGGGCGTTTCAACTGTGCAGAAGACTCCTTCTCACCCTCTGGCGCCCCTAGAGAGAGTGACGGTCACCTGAGCGTCTCGGTCGGTCGGGTGCCCTCCTGTCTGCCCCTCCCCACCCACACTCTTCTTGTGCCCCGCACCCTCACGTGCATGCGCGCCCACAGGACCCCCAGAACAGGGAGGAGTGTGTTGGGGAGCGCCTGGGGGGTCTGACGAACCCCCACGGGGCGGGCGAGGCAGGTGGGCAGCAAGCACAAAGGGAAGAAGCAGCGCCCCCTTGCGTCCCCTCGGCTCCAACCCGGCACCGAGGTGCCCCCTTCCACGACCGCTCGGCCCTCACCACCAGGACAGGCAGCGGGCCCTCTCTGTGCCATACCCGTGCTGCAAACACCCCCCACCTGCCTTCCACCCTGGGGCAACAGGGCCGACATCAGAGAGCAAAGCGGGGCATCCTTCCTTCACCCAGCCCGGCCCAGACCCTCCTCTGGGCGGGAGGGACCGCAGACGGGCCCCGCCCCTCCCGCAGGGGAAGACACCGCCCCCGCCCCCCCCACCCCCCCGCGAGCTCCCCCAGGAAGGCTCTCAGACCCCTCTCCGGGCCCGTCCGCCCTCCCTCTGCTGCTGCACTGACCTGCTCTCGTGGGGACCGGCTCCACGCTGCTGCGGGAGGACCGCCCGCCCCGCCTCTCGTGACTGAGGGCCGGGACGGTCCCTGCCGACACGCAGCGGGCGGGCGGGCAGGTTTGACGGGCGTGTCCCACCGGCCCTGCCCGGGAAGTGATGTCTCACACGGGCTCCACGCGTCACCGGAGCTCTGGAGCGTTCTCACGGCACGGCTGCCGTGTGCGGGGAGCTTGTTTTGCCTTTGCGGGTGCCATAGGAACCTTCTAGAAACTGCCCTTGCCCCTGGTCTGAGAGTGGGGGAGATCCTCCCACCGTGTGTGAATGGTCAGCCCGGGTCCTCACGAATCCCTCAGAAGGAGCCCCCGCACCCTCGGGACCCACGCTGCAGCCCCCCGCCGGCTCTCGTGGGGGCGGGAGCGCAGCTAAGCAATGCCGGTGGGCCCACCCACCCAGAACCGGCGACCCCCGGTTACCTCTCAGCCCTGGCCCTCCTCTGTGAGTGCACCCCTGAGTGCTGGCCCGGGGGACACCTGCGTGGCTGTGCCCCGGTCACCACC